CGATATCATCTTGAACAGCAATCTTCGTATGTTTGGCATGCGATTCGCCCCTGTAAAGTGTACGATGCTGCTACAGGACTGACTGGAATACGTCAACTCCTAGCTTAGTGACAGGGAGTGAAGTGATAGAACATGTTGACCACTTCACCTATTTGAGAAGTTGTATCAGCACCAACGGACTGATTGGCGACGAAATCTCAGCACGGATCCAAAAAGCTCGAGCTGCTTTCGCTAACTTACACCATCTCTGGCGTAGGCGTGACATCCGGCTATCAACCAAGGGACGTGTGTACTGCTCAGCAGTTCGCTCCGTCCTTCTCTATGGCTCTGAAACATGGCCAATACGAGTTGAAGACATGAAAAGGTTGACTGTTTTTGATCATAGATGTTTACGATCTCTTTCTCACGTTAGGTGGTATAATAAGGTAAGTAATGTTGACGTTAGGCGTAGAGTGTTGGGCAAAGAGGGAAAATCAATCGAAGAGGCTATAAAGTTACATAGATTGAGATGGCTAGGTCACGTGCTGCGCATGCCTAACCATCGCCTCCCCCGACGGACGGGCATTACTAGCTGATATAGGTGCAGGTTGGAAAAGAGTAAGTGGTGGCCAAACAAAAACATGGCCTCATCAATCCATGAAATCCTTGACAGTTAAACTGAGTCAGGTAGGGAGATGCAGACTTCCGGGTTGGGGCCCGCCCTCGGGACTCTAAGAATCACTGGCTGGAGACAATAGGTGACATGGCTCAAAATCGTTGTCAATGGCTTACGCAGATGTATTCAGTCTCTGTAATCTTTCATATTCCTTTCTACCATTACTCATTCTGTTTCACTCTTATACTTGTCAAAACTCTATTGATTCTCTTCACTCATCTTCTTGTCTACCTTTGTGTGCTATTTGGAACGTGGCAACTGGAACTGGTGCACTTCGGTGCCAAGTTCTATGTTGAATCCAGACAGACAGAAGAGACCGATATCATATGCTGAAAATTCCATACCTGTACCAAAAATACGGTGTGAAATCAAGCTGTAATCAAAAATAAATAAATAAAATAAGAGTGTGGACGTCACGCTTAAGCTTAGAAGCTTCAGTAGCAATGATTAAATTTTTTTTCCTTACGGGGTATGGTTGCTATCCAGCCTCACGGCCAATCTTCCCTTTTTACCGTACTTATCACTAGATAAGCGAGGTCTAGGAGTGAGTCGGCTGGGGATCGAACCCTTGACACCATCACATGGATGGTTGGTGATAAACTTAACACTTCCTAATAATATTCACAGTGCCAAAGAAAAAAACTGTTTATAAATCTTGCATTCAAAGGTGACACAATTTCTGAATTGATTAAAAATCGTTTATATAAATGCATTAAACGTACTTTTCCTGCAGCTGACTTACAACTAGTTTTTACCAGCCGAAATATGATTAGATAATACGTCAAGAATAGATTACCGTTTATGTTCACATCTATGTGCATTTACTCTTTTACCTGCTCTTGTGGAGCTGATTATATTGGACGTTGTAAGCGTAATCTCCGAAAACATGAAGCTGAACATTATCTGGTTTGGTTAATGAAAGGCAAACGAAGAACTGCGAAGTCGTCTATTTGTGGTCACCTGTTAGAGTCAGGTCATTTAGCCCCATGTGATTCATCTTTCAGGGTTATCTACATGGTAAAATTGAATCGCTCCAAAAGTTTACGTTTTCTTCACTTATGCATAACCGAAGCTTTATCTGTTGAAAAACGTTTTGTCAAACCCCTTTCTTTACCTTGGTCATAGTAATGTTCTTTCTAGTTTTTACTTTATTTTATTTTACCACTTGGATTCTTTCCACTTCACTTCATATCTTCATTCTTATCGTAATCGTACTCCTAATTTTTTAAAATTTTTAGACAGCATTTGGATTTTTTTGAAAATTTTGATATCAATTCACTTATAAAACAATCTTTAATAATTTTGTAATTCATCCACTTCAACTCTACCGCTTGTAACATTTTAATTATCTTCTTAAGTTTGGTTTGTAAGGATTAGTTATGTTTTACGAGTTGATCACGGACTGGTATCAGTTAGAGAACCATTGAAAACCAGTGAGTACTGGACAGCTGCTGTTTCATCCTAGTTTGGGAATCATCGGCAGTACGCACCCACTGGGATTCGAACCCAGGACCTTCCGGTTACAAGGCAAGCTGGTAAAACATAACTAATCCTTACAAACCAAACTTTAGAAAATTATTCTGATGCTCGCTAGTGACTTGCTACAGGTTGGAGCTTCCTGGAGTTCTAGTGAGAAGTCGTGACCAGTGAGGTCCAATTAGAAGTCACGTGTGTGGATGGATGTCCCACCAACGACAATAGTTGGGGGTCGCGCTAAAATCACGAATTGGTAGAAGTTAGAATTCATGAGCCATTGAATCGGGTCCCAGTGGCTGAATGGTATACGAGCTTGCCTTGTAACCGGAAGGTCCTGGGTTCGAATCCCAGTGGGTGCGTACTGCCGATGATTCCCAAACTAGGATGAAACAGCAGCTGTCCAGTACTCCCTGGTTTTCAATGGTTCTCTAACTGATATCAGTCCGTGATCAACTTGTTATTTTAATTATCGTTATTCTTATCACTTATATGTGTATATTGACTAAGCAATTATTTAGTGCCACTCAATGACCTTTTCTGTAATATAAATACGACTGTACAGCTTAAAAATGAAGTCGTTGAAAAGAAATTTCTTCGCTGAACAAAAAAACTGTGTTTTGACTTATGAATAATTGAATATTCACTTTAACTAGTTGTAGGCCTATTCTCTCATTCATATCTCGACCGATAACTGCTACCTTGCCGTGGTGGTCGGGCTTGAATGCCGCAGTGACCCAACCAGCTAAACTGGCTGAGACTCATGTCCCTGCAGGTCCTACCATGTCAGGAAGGTTGTTTGGATAGCAGTTAGACTAAAAGCAGTTACCATGGAGTACATGGGCTCCAGAATTCAATCGGATCAAATGGCGTATGAACCCATATGGGTCACCGGCAACCAGGGGAACGCAGCTCCTGACGCTGCTCCGCTGCCTTTCGGATTAGACTCGAAGTCAAAGGCTCGGGGGGGTAGTCCCTTAAGAAAACCACCTGCTTCGGTCTGGGCGCCTGGGCAGTATCTCAGCCCTCACACAATTAATTATAGTGTGGCGCATCTTTCTTGGTGCCATATTGTACCGAGTTTTTCTGCGTTTAAATAAAATAAATCTCATTCATATCTGCTTTTGTTTCTTTGTTTCAGTCTACTGTCGTGTGCACTGTCAGCTGAAGCACTGGGCTTATTATTTCAATGCACTGAATTATTATCGTTATGCGCTCCGATTACATCACAAGACGATGAAGAAGTATCACTGACACAGAATACACCGGATAAATTAAAGCACACGGAAAGTAGTGATATCAAGTTTACACAGAATGTTGCTCGTCAATGTGGTCATGCTCTACAATCGCTTCTGGAACGACCTGAAACTCCAGGTTTATTAGCTTTATGCTTGACAACATCTAGTCCATTTTGTCAAAGTGATGGTATCATGGGAATGGGATTACAAACACGTGATGATGTCTTTCGACTATTGAATGTTGCTCGTCATGTTGAAAAATTTGATAATGACCGGTAAGTGTATTAAGTGTAGAGTATTTGTAGTTTTTTTTTTGGGGGGGGGATTCCTCTTTCCAGTAATTTTTATTAATTACCTGACCAATATCACATGTTAAATGATCCACAGTGGAAAATAACGAAGACCGTAGAGTGAAGACAGGACTTAGACAAGGCTACCTACTATCACCAATGACATTCCTAATTATGGTAGACTGGATTTTGCAGAAGACTATTTGCAGCGAGTAGGCAGGAATACGTTGGACCGGTAAGAAGACTCTAGAAGATCAGGACTTCGCGGACGACTTATGTTCAACGTCACACGAATTTGAAGATTCACCGGTGGGAAACCAGCAAGTCGACAGAAGTAGAAGCAAATAAACGTAGAGAAGGCGGGGGTGTTTAAGATTACTGACTAACAAAAAACAACACCAATCACTATCAATAGAATAAATTTGAAAGGGGTCGCTTCCTTCACTTATTATTATTACTTCCTTTAATTCCTATAGGAACATAGGGCTTCGGCCAAACGTCTCCATTGCGTTCGGTTCTCTGCTAGAGTCTTCACCTGGCTCCAAGTCTGTCCACACGTTTTCATCTCCTCTTCACTTGACCTCCTCCAAGTCACCCTCACACTGACGACCAACTCGCCACTTCCCCTTCGGGTTCCACTCGAGGAATTTTCTAGTGATGTCACTTGATGGTTTCCTCAGGGTATGGCCAATTCACCTCCATTTCTTCCTGCATATTTGTTGCACAATCCGTTCCTGGTTGGTTTGCTCCCAGAGATCCCTGTTGCTGATCTTTCTTGGCCAGCCATCTGATCTTGAGTAGTATTGAGGGAAGACAACTGTTGATGAAGGTCTGTAGTTTGTTCGAAGTGGCCTTCATGCCGCGGCGTCAAGTCTCTGATCCGTATAGTAGCACTGACTGACTTCACATTGGAGTTGACAATCCGAATCTTATTTTTGATGATGAATGCTGTTGACCTCCACACAGACTTGAGAGTAGTGAAAGCTTGCCTTGCTTTTCCGATTCTTGCTTTGATATCCTCGTCAGTTCCGTTTGCTTGTAGTTGAAACGATGCTTCCCAGTTAGGTGGTAAAAGAGGTAGACAGTATCGTTCCAACTACATGCAGTGATGTCAAAACCAGAATCGGAAAGACAGAACAGGTCTTCATTCTGAAATCAGTTTGGAACTCGTGTACATTCAGCATTAAAGTAACAAGATTCGAATTTCCAACACCGATTTTAAGTTGCTTGGCGCGTGATGAAAAGCCCTTCTAAGGGACTACTGCAGACTTTTATCATCTGCCGCCTTCGCTGGCTAAATGCTGAAGATTAGATGGGCGACCAGAAACATTTGACAGCAAGAAACTCTGGAAACAAACCAATCAAGCGCCCATTGCTCGACCAGCAAATATGCAGAATTAAAGTGGAGATGGATTGGGCGCATACCTTGGAGACTGTCAAATGAAATCGCATGCCAGACCACCTCTCGAGTCTAATCCGAATAAAAAACGATTAGTTGGACGTTGATCTTAGGGTGGTATGGAGGAGAACGTGTGAGGAGGAGGAAGTGAAAGCTTATGGGAAGACGTGGGGCCAGACGAAGAGGACTTCAGAGGATGGGACAAAATGGAGGCGTGCTGCTGAAGCCCTATGTTCCACTCGGAACTCAAGGGAATAATAATATAAAATAACATACAATCAAAATTATTCACAGCTTGTCTCATGAATCTAGCCAGTCGTTTTACGTCTAAAAAATAGTAAATGGTAGAATAAATACAAAGTTGTTAAGATTAGTGAGTGCTAATTAAAACGTGATTGTGACATTGTAAGGGCGAATAGTTATGCGTATGAGACAAACTGCTCAAAAGACTAATTATTGTCGAAAAGAGTACGGAAAGAGAAAAGATGTGGTGTTGTATAAGAGGTAGAAGGGCTATTAATGTTTATTCTTATTATTAATATTATTGTGAGTGACATTTACCTTTCAGCATAGAATTTCAAACAGAAGTGCAAAAGTTAAAATTGCCACACTTCATGTTCACCTCATAGTGCTCACTGTATTATACTACTTGACACATGAGACAGGACGCAAACATATGTGGTTAGAGACAACTAACCTTTTCATGTCTTCCACTTTCAATGGTCATGTCTCACAGTCATAAAGGTGGATGGAGCGATCTGCTGAGGAGTGTGTACGTCCTTTGATCGATATCAAGATTTCACGTCTACTCCAGAGATGATGGCGTAAGTTGGTTGGCATATGCCAAACGAGCCTTTCCTATCCGTCTTGAGATTTCGTCAACTATCAACCTGTTGCGACTTCTCAAATAAGTGAATTGATCAACATGCTCCACCAACCACTTCACTCCTGTCTATCTTTAAGCTAGGAGTCTGTGCAGTTTGTTCCTGCAGCATTATCTTACATCTGGCAGGAACAAATTGCATGCCAAGCCAAACATTTCAAGATTCCTTCTCAAGGTGTTCAGAAGACTCTATATTTTATCACCGTCTCCATCATGAAATCATCATTATTACTACTTTAATGCTAATATTTCAACATAAATGGATTAAGACCATGAGAGGTGGAGTGGTTAAACAAGTTTTGTCTCTACACATAGCTCCAGCTTTGCTGGTCCAGTCAAAAAAGCTTCAGGTTATTTTTCCACTTTACTGGATAACTTTAAAGCGAGAGACTGTAGTGCAATAGAATCACCAATATCGACAAGGTATTCAGTTATCGCTCTCTTCTATCTCCTCATAACCGAATCACGGTAGTAATCTCAATCTTTTCAACAAGACCTTGGTCGAATGATGCATATTCCTAGCTCCATAGAAGCAGATGAACTTGTTTGCGCATAAGTACAGGATCTTGTCGTTCACTATTGGACATGTTCATGAAACAACAAGTTGTATATCATTACGATTGTGTACATCTGTAATAAATGAAATCGCCTTCAAATGTCTTTTCTTTGGATCATGTATCTTCATATTTCGTCACCTGTTGTTGATTGAGTTTCACACTGTGTCTGTCATTCTGTTATTTTCTCAGCTTTCGATTACACATATTATTCAGAATTTTATCTTAATCGTGTTGAGAAAAAAAATCATTTATCAAATGTTGATTTGTAGGGATTTGATTGGTTACAGATCTGATGACGAATTGATATTAGCTATTAGAGAACCGGAACAGGTTGGATTCAGGAGAAACAAGTAATGCATTGATCAGATCGCCACATTACGGATCATCATTGAACAAAGCTTGGAATGGTAGTCACCTCTCTATCTCAACTTCATCGACTTTGAAAAGGCCTTTGACAGCGTCGATCGAGAGGTGATTTGGAAACTACTTCGCTACTACGGGGTGCCACCGACAATTATACATCTCATCCAACAGCTATACGACAATGCTGCATGCCAAGTAATCCACAACGGGAAACTTACGGAATCCTTCAAAGTGAGGACAGAAGTAAGACAAGGCTGGCTGCCTACTATCGCCAATGATTTTCCTGATTGCAGTAGATTGGATAATGCGACAGACAGCGGCGGGCAATGAGGAAACAGGCATAAAATGGACTCACACAAATACTTGGAGGATCTGGACTTCGCCGATGATATATGTCTGATTTCCCAGAAACTGGAAGATATACAAGTGAAAAGCAACAAGTTGGCACAAGAAGCATCAAAGATAGGACTTCAGGTGAACATAGAGAAAACAGAGATGATGACGATTCCTGGACAAGAACAACAGACAACAACCAGAATAAATGGGAGGAACCTGAAAGAAACGACCTCTTTTACCTACCTGGGAAGCATTTTCAACTACAGGCGGGACTGACGAGGATATCAAAGCAGCGAGGATCGGGAAAGCAAGACAAGCTTTCACTACTCTCAAGTCTGTGTGGAGGTCAACAGCACTCAGCATGAAAATGAGAATAAGATCCGGATTTTCAACTCCAATGTGAAGTCAGTGCTACTATACGGATCAGAGACTTGCACTGCGCGTCATAAAGAGCACCTCAAACAAACTACAGACCTTCATTAACAGCTGTCTTCGCTCAATACTCATAAGATCAGATGGCCGGCCAGAAAAGATCAGCAATAGTAGGGATCTCTGGGAGCGAACCAACCACAGGAACCGATTGTGCAACAAAGCAGGCAGGAAGAAATGGAGGTGGATTGGCCATACTCTGAGGAAACAATACATCAAGTGACATCACTAGACAAGCCATTGCTCGAGTGGGACCCGAAAGGGAATCGGCGGGTTGGTCGTCAATGCGAGGGTGACTTGTAGGAGGTCATGTGAAGAGGAGATGAAAGCGTGTGGGCAGATGTGGAGACAGGTGAAAACTCTAGCAGAGAACCGAACGCAATGGAGACGCATGGCTGAAGCCCTATGTTCCTCTAGGAATTAAAGGATACAATAGTATAATAATAATAAGTAGAGAATCATTGGAAAACCAGGGAGTACTGAACAGATGTTTCGTTCTTCTTCTTCTTCGGGACTCTCCATCAGTACTCATCCATAGGGTGAGGTTTGGACCCAAGACTTTCGAGTTACAAGGCGACTTCGTAAACTTTTAAGCCACCGGGTCGCAACAGTTATTTTCTTGGTCAATTGTATGACTACGAGGAAAATGGTTCCCTAAATCTCCTAAATAATAATAATAATTTAATACCCAACCCCAGCTTAAATGATCGCTTCTTTATCCTCTATTTTTAGGTTTGTTTTCCTTTTCGACCAGTTAATAAATCCCTTTGGTGTCAGTGGAAGTAAAGTGCTCAAATACTTGTCAAATGAAGAATTACGCACCAATACACCAAAGTCGCCTTTCTTATACAAATGGTTTCGTTCCCTTGTCACTGGTGGCACCGATAGTCTGAGACATGTTCATCGATCCAGTGACACAATGCTTAGTATCGCTGAATCACCTAGTACAGAAGCACTAGAAAGTAATGTTGACAAGTATCTAGCGAATTGGAAATTAGCTGAAGGCGATCAGGTATGCTCGTCTTTCTACTTTTTTTTATACTACTTGTATTGTTGGAGTAAATGTTTTTTTTATTAGATGGTTTAAGGCAATTTGGCAGGAAGCCTTGCTTGACCCAGGTGTTGTATCTGCAGTCTCGAAGGACTAGCTAGACACATGACACTAGTTAGTATCCAATCAAAGTATCTAATACAATTCCCTACACAGGAGGTCAATCGCGAGCCCCGACATCTCTGACTGCAGCACTGGATCATACGGGTTCGAATCTAATGAATTCCCTCTTGCTGACTGACTTGTGAGCGCCAACAAGCATAAAACCTATGTCCAAGCAGGGCTTCCTACCTCCAACTATCTAATAACAAGAATTCTGAGTGCACCGTGATGGCGATCCACCTAGTGTCATGATGGGCCAAATTGTAAACTTGACTGACGACACTAGTTAATGTCCAGTCGAAGGAATAAATGTTTACAGGATTTCATCATAAGCTGACATTAGTTAGAGAGCCATTGGAAAACCTGGGAGTACTGGACAGCTGTTTCGTCCTAGTTTGGGACTCTTCAACAGTACGCACCCACCGGGATTCGAACCCAGGACCTTCTGGTTACAAGGCTAGCGAGCTCGTATACCATTAAGCCACTGGGACCCGATCCAATGGCCAGTCCATGAAGTCTAACTTCTACAAATTCACGACATAGCACGACCCCTAGTCAATGTCTTCGGCGAGTATTTGTCCCCACACCAGCCGACCTGCTGCACCCTACTGGTCACGACTTCTCACTAGAACCCCAGGTAACTGCCTACCTGAATAGGGCAAGTCGCTAGTGAGCACCTCATTGATATTCAAGTGTTGGTTTTTAGGGATGTGATCGATTACAGGATTTTCATCATGAGCTGACATTAGTTAGAGAGAGAGAGAGAATATTTTTATGCCATACTATCATTATGACGATAATTATGCAAAGTAGTAGTTTCGCGATGTCATGTTAGGCGATAAATTCATGAATAATATTCTTTCTGAAGATTTCTACTTTTACTAGAAAACAAATTCTTGTCTTCTGTGCTCATGCGAATTCTGTTCCCCTGTTTTTTTCGTTAGTTAAAAAGCAATGGCTTATCCTAGTTGCTTCGCTCAGTGGAACCTCATAACCTGCTTGATTGACTTTTCCCTCTTTGCATAACACTGTTTCTAACATCACTCATTATCAGTTATCCTATGTTTCAATTTAACATAAGCAATTAAACCTTCATTCACCACGTCTTATAAAAAAAAATGGTCAAACGTAATAAACTACTACTCCGAGCTTGTTACTCTCAAGCAAACTGGGTAGTCCCGTGTAAAGTTTATCCTTTACTTCTTTCTGTGTGCTCAGAGATCGCGTGTGATATTGAAGAGTACGAGAAAATATAGACGAGTATTATGATGTTTCTTTTTGTTCATTCAGCTGGACGGCAGATACCCACACACACACCCACATGACTGTCCACTTAGATCCAGGCAAGTAGTAAGTTTTTCACTCGTGACTTCAATGCGTAAACTAGTTAGAGAATCTGTTAACATTCTGTATGATGGATCTCGCAGATTTGGCATATTGACTAGGTTTAGGTTAAGTCAACATCTATATCACCAGATCGGGCCTGTTCGTGCCATTCATTGGGTGTTCAAAGTTCTATTTTTCAGTTGGTGCCATGATTGTAAGAGGCCAAAAGCAATGCTTCTCTGGCCTAATTTGTCGATAACAGCCACAAAAGCTAAAGAAACTCTCTCGGGAATAGTAACTGTGCAGTGGGAGGGAAAACAAAGAAGATTGTTTCATATGGAGTTAAACACACACCGTAAATTGTGATTTCTCCTATGACTACGTCGAAGGGATCGGGCACAACTTCTTGAGGTGCATCGTTCATGGCTTGTTTGGAGGTGGGGTTTATAGAGGTCCTTACAAATGAATAATCGAGCTTTTGGCAACGAGCTGCTGTAGGATAAAGCAAGTTAAGCGGGGTGTGTAGCTTCTCTAACTGCTCCATCTCTTCAAGAATGGTTAAAGGGACGGCATATGTTTAAGGCTACTATTACTGTTAAACCTCTACTCTGCGGTAGTATGATTACTTTCTCGGATCCACACGACATTGTAAGCAGTCTGCACTCCGTGATTTCAAATAATTACCTTTAATCCAATGGCTATTCAATCAATTTTCTGATATTGTAGGTCAGACCAGTAAGAAATGTTCCTTTTATGCAGCCTGCATCACTAGATCATTAGGAAATACACCCTCCGAAGACTACAGTATTAAGGTAGTAGTTGTCGGTTAGGATTAATTAACTATCTGTACTTCAGCGAGCATCATTTAAGTCCCTTTGTTCTTGAGAACACTATATATGATTTTTTGAAATACTTTAATTTGATGCTGTTAACAGAGGACTGTTGAGTAGTACCGCTTTGTATTTCAAGTTGTTTGTTATATATCGTATCTATGAGCTAAGTAGAAAACAACAAGAAATGAGAAGGAATGAAAGAGACGTAATCGAATTTAGTAAAACGCTTTATGACAAAACAAGATGAAAAAAGTAGTAAGTTGTTAAGAGAAGTGGGATGTTGTAGTTGAGATAGGATTGAATTACGACGGCAGTTTTTTCATTCCTTTGCTTTCCAAATAGAATAAACGGCTTCATGCTTGAGCTTTTAAGTGTCAGTAACGGTGGTGTTATTCCGTTGTTATTAAATGGGATTGCGAGCCTCACGTCCAACCTTCCCTCATTACCTAGCTATCCACCGGTTAAGTGAGGTTCATAGGATTACTGACCCGTACCTCATGAGGAGTATTATTATCATTATTCCCTTGCATTCCGAGTGGAACAACACATCTCCACTTTGTTCTGTTTTCTGCCGTCCTCTTCAACTGGGCCCACGATTGTTCATAATCTCTCATCTCCTCCTCCCTACACGATCACCTCCATGTCACCCCCACACTGCCAACTCGCTCGTCACTTCCCATTGCGATGGCCGGCATTGCGCTCGATGTCATTCGACCGCCTCCTCAACTTATGCCCGATCAATCCATCTCCATTTTCTTCTGCATATTTGTTGAGTGATTGGCTCTTGGTTGGTTTGTTCCTAGACAGAGTTTCTTGTTACTTCCTGGCCATTTGATCTTCAGTATGGAGCCAGTGAAGGGTACAGCTGTTGATAAAAGTCTGTAGTTGCCTGTTGGAAACACCTTTTCTGATGCTCATGTCAAGTTTCTAACCCTTATAAAATGATTGACTTCACATTTGTGTTGAAAATCCGAATCTTGTTCTTTATGCTGATGTGGAGTGAAGAAGATTTCCAAACTGGTTTCAGGTTGATGAAGGCGTATTTCGCCTTTCCGATTCTGGCTGGCTGGCTTTGACATCTTCATCCGTTCCGCCGGCCTGTAGTTGAAACGATGCTTCCTAGCCGGATAAGTGAAGGAAGCAACCTCTGTTAAATCCCTCCCATTGAGGGTGAATGGTGCTGGTTGTTGTTGTTGCTGTTGGTTGGTTGGTTATCTTCATCACCGTCTTCGCTATGTTCACCTACAGTCTTGCCTTCGCTGCCTACCTCTTCTGCCAGTTTGTTGCTTTTCTCCTGTAAATCTTCGGGTTTGTGTGACACTAAATGTAAATAATCCATATCTCCTAGAGTCTTCTTATCGGTTTTCCAGCTAATTCCTGACTCCTTGCCCCCAACTGTCTGACGCATAATCCAGTCGACCACAATTTGGAATATCATTGGTGATAGTAGTGGGCAGCCTTTTCTTTTCACTTCGAACGCCTCTCTGAGTTTACCGTTGTAGATCACCTGGCACATGGTATTGTCATATAGCTACTTGTTGAGTGAGGTTGATAAAGACTGGGGTACTGCACGCCGTAATGTTGAAGTTTTGAAATTACTTCTCGGTTAACGGCTTTTTCGAAGTCGATGAAGTTGAGGTAGAGGCAGAGTTGACTGCTATTCTACGTTTTGATCTGTGATAACGATGCGTAAAGTTGCCATTTGATCAGTTTATGATTTTCTTTTCTTGAATCCATTATAAATAAGATTTTATTTTGATAAATCACATAGTGTTGTTATACAGTAATATTAACTGATGAACACGTTTCGAGCACACACTATTGCCACTCATAATCATATCAAGTCACTCACTCACACAACTTTCTCGCTTCATTTATATATATAAGTGGAATTGATCATTAGACATTTGAGTAAAAATCAATCTCTTGCTTCTTCCTAGAACAGTTGTACACGTCTCCTTGAACATCACATTCAGAAAGTTAGTTCCAGTGTTATTCCACACAGGTTTCCTCGGTGATACCTCGTAGTGTCTCCAACTTTACTTTGATCTGTAATGAAGTTATCCCTTGCAGTTTTCGCCTTCATTTTCTGAATGCTGACCTTGAATTACAGTGGCCTGTCTCCAGTGGTTCTCAAGGCTTTCAGCCACAACTTGAAGGTTCCTTGAACTAGATGATGGTCTGAGCTCACATCTGCTCCCCTTCTCGACTTTGTGTCCAGCAGGCTGACTAAATCTCCACTTCCTTGAGCAGAATTGAGATGAAGTCTATCTGGTTTGTTGTGTGTCCATCAGGCGAGATCCATGTCACTGGCCTTGTGTGTATCCCTGTGTTTGTACGCGCTCCCTCGGTCACCAAAATCATTGAAAGTGCAAAAGTCTGAGAATGATTCTCCACTCTCATTCATTTCTCTGAGAGCCCCTCGACCCATGATGAATTCTCTTCCTGCATTGTCTGCTGCTGGTTTGGCTTGCATCCATATAGCCTATAAGGATTTTGATGTCACCATTTGGGATGTTTCCCATTACTGTTGGTAGTTGTCTGTAAAACTCCTCGTTCTTTTCTTGATCTGCGTTGTTTGTAGCACTGTGAGTATCATTGGATAATTATGACCTTCTTCCCTTTGGAGTTACATCTTGCTGTCATGATCCTGCAGGACTATTTTGGTTCCCACTGCAATAGAGCTTTGGCTGCCGCTGGCGACATCATCATAGCCAGTCACTACTATCTCAGTGTGTTCGTGGTTGTCGTCTGGGTGACTGGCGTAGATTATTGACTCTCCCGCTGACAGTGTTGCCACTGTCATCATCCACTGCTCCTCAACCAATTAGTCTTTCCTGGGTTACTCAAAATAGGACTATGTCATGTTGTGCAGGGTATTTAAAAGTTGTCAGTAGGGCAAGTGGTGTGCACCACTTAGTCAGCTCGTTATTATTGTAGTCGACAGACACCTGAACTTATTAGAGAGAGAGAGATGCCTTAAATCCATCTAATTGTCTAACTCTCACCACCCTTTTTATTAACAACTTTTCCCTTGCATCTTATTAGGTAGGACTATAAATCACTATAAAAGATTATATGCTCGTGCAACCATGTACGAAAACTCAACGATATCCTATTTGGCCCGTATTTTATGTGATAGAGATTATGTTAAGCGTGGAACTTACGACTTACTAATGTTATCAACAAAATAATGGGCTCTTTTTTATCTTCTCTCTTATTTGTAATCTACGGTGACACTATTTCAATTATTGGTATAAGGATAAAACTTGGGCACTGTGGCAGAGCATAGTCCTATTATGGATAAAATTTATTTTGATAAAGTCACACAGTGTTGTTATACAGTAATATTTACTGATGACGTCTCAAGCACAATTCATTGATCATAATCATATCAAGGTACTCACTCACACAACTTTCTAACTTTGTTTATATGGTTCCACTATTTCTCATCTCTTGATTTGATTGGTAGCAGTATTTTGCATATTTCCGGTATGAGTGATGAGTCATTCCTATTGCACGTGTTCGGTGTAGACTCGATGCACAAGGATTCAGTAATCAATCTCTCTCTCTCTCCACCTACTTATATTACTTCTTAGAATTTTAACCCTGTCCCACACCCTATTGTGTGGTTGTGTGTTAATGCATGCAGTGCAATATAGCTGAGTTATTTTCTAAATTACTTATCTTCTCGGGTCCAACCATTCTAACCTTAGCTAAATTCTTATGTTCCGACAATCTGACTACCCCTGACCTATGTAGTTGACCTAACTCTGATCAGTCATTGCAGGGTATTTTGTAAATTATATGATTTTGTCTAATTGGGTCAACCAATCGTTTAACCTAGAGAGCTTGTCCTATCTGAGTGAGTTTGTAGGTTTGAATGCCACCCTAATTCCTGCTTTATTAATAATCCTACGTAGGGACGGTTTCAGATGTCCCCTCCTTATATGGTAAAACTAGTGTATATGCCTCATATTCTTCCTCATTTACATTATCATTATTAGTTTCATACCACAAATATGGAAGGTATTACTGCCAGTCAAATCAAGAGATGGGAACTATTTCAGTTAACTTATAACTTTAGCTATGAACATGAATTGGCCATTGGATCGGGTTTCAGTGAGTGGCTCAATGGTCTACGAGGTCGCTCACCTTGTAACCAGAAGGTCACGGGTTCGAACCAGGTTGCGGTGGGTGCGTACTGCTAAAGAGTTCCAAGCTGGGCTGACGAAACTCCCGGCAGATTTTCCAGTGGTTCTCTAACTGATGTCAGCTGATGATAAAATTCTCTAACCAATCAGTCACAATCCTTACAAACCAATACTTACAAAACAGTCTAATTATCGTCATTGATATTTAGTTCTGATAGGCATTGTGCTTCTTCTTACTCCACGGAATAAACTCCTGGGTGTTTTTCTGAAATTGAGAAAAGAAGACAGTGTTAAGTACCCCCCAGCTATAACCGTTTTTATTTCGTTACACTTCTATATGATTAAATCTTTGTTTTATTTTACTTTTTATTTGCTTCATTTACAGACCCCAGATGACATTAAGCTAACTCTGTCAATGTATGAGTATAAAATTCGTGTACTCCAAGTAAGCTCTTTATGCTGGATTACTTTCACCGGTTTCTTTTTCTTGTTATTATAATCCTGTAGTTTATTCTATCCGACATAATATGTATGAAGTCTGCTAATTCTACTATGCCGAAGCTGGACTTCGGCGCGCTGTGTTGATAACGAATACAGCTTGACTAGCCTACTGCTTTACATATTCCAGAATACTAAACGACGTGAGACAGAAGGTGCCCTTATCTGCATAAGTAAGAAGTGGATTTATCAAAGAAAACAATTATATATATGTGACCAGTGGGGTTGTGAGAGTGAAGATAGCTAGATTACCTTCAACCAGACACGAGAATATCCAAACAACCTTGATGTAGAGACATGTGACATGTCTGACTACATATCAAATACTGCCCAATCACACCAGCCAGTAAAGCAGGTGACATTGACCTGCATAGCTTGTGACAGTGTTCTAGAAACAAACTGTTGATCAGTAAACCTTTGCAACCCTTTACCGACTTTTATCTAGAAAACAGTTGAAGGAATATCACTCATCGTCAAGGGCTTTCTATCGTTTTGGGAGCGGGAGGTGTGTGGATCCCTCCTGTCTTCCGAAATTTTAGTGTTTTTCAGATGAGCGTTTGCTTATGTCGCCTATAACATGATTTATCAAGATAGATTTACACAGAAACCTAATGTGTTGTTAAATGCGCTTGCTAAATCCCATCTTAGTGTTGAATTTGCGAAGTGATCACTTCTGCGGTCTTGGTTGGTTTGTAGATTTTAACAAGATTAGTGGGTAAATTGGTGGCAGTTGGTGACTAGCAATGGAATCCAGGAGAACGCGCATTTCGTCCTATTTGGGGCTCGTTAGCTAGTGGATGTACCTGCTTTCCCCAGTGAGTGATGATGTCCCCACCACCAAAGCTCAAACCCAGTACCCTTCGTTTCAAATGACAAAGCACTATCCACTAGACCACTTGGACGACGAGAGTCATCTCTTGTGCAACAGATGTCAGTTGTTATGTTCGACCCCTATTGATATGCCGGCTCCTTGTGTGGATGCTTCGACCGATGTCTGAGGATTAACTTGAAGATGTTTTGTTAGTTAGTTAGTTATTCAATCCACTTACTTACTTTACTTTATTTCGGCTATCTCCTACGGGAGGATGAGCCGGCTTCATGAATATCTCGAATCATCGCTGCCCAGGCGCGGCAATAAGAGAGTGTATGAAGTTTCATGGGAATTTGGTACGAGTGATGTCCCCAGAATCGCTCGGCCTTTTGTTTGAGAGTGCAGCTCTAGCCTTTACACAACCAAGTGTGACCTACAAGGCAGTAGGAGTGGAGTAGGGAGTCCACTATCCATTGGCAGTCGGTGACCGGAGTTCGGTTCATACGCCTTTTTGAATGGGGTCAGACATCCAGGACATCCAACAAGCCCTTTGTCCATACGTCTGCCGGTGAGCTCCAGTGAGCTTCATACGCCAGTCGTTGGAGGTTTGGAATCAGGGTTTAGCCATCTCCCCTAGACTGTCATCCAATGGACAGTCAACCCGGTGAAGAGCGCCGGGCATCCGCTTTCGCTCTCTCACTTTGGTGAAAAAACACCTCCGCCACGTGAAGGCAGTGAGTAGAACTTCCTCAGGAGAGGCTATGTAAGACGCTCGGTCATATGGGAGCATTTCAAGAGGTGTGCGGAGGGGTGGCCAACCCGCAGCGCAAGGCACCCACCCCCGACCATCCTGAGGCTTTGGGGGCCTCAAACCCAGTACCATAGTTAAATGCAAAGCGTTATCCACTAACCATTGGACGACGAGATCGTTCTTGTACAACAGATGTCAGTTGTTATTATTTATATTTCATTTCAGTTTTGATTTACACGTTGATTGGTGGACTGAAATGTCTACTCTATTGATATGTCGGCTCCTTGTGTGGATGCTTCGACCGACATCTGAGGATTAATTTGAAGTTATTTTGTTAGTTAGTATTCAATCCTCGTATTGTGAGTTGGAGCGTAGCGCATCAAGTGGGGTACATCTTCATCGTGCTCGGTTATCTGCCATCACACTGAGTGCCAGTTTTCATTCCCCTCTCTCGTATGATCTTCTCTCTGTGTCACTATCAACCGCCGAACACTTCGCTTCTCATTCAGCCTCCAGCCTAGTATGTGATTCTACTGAAGGTCGTTCTGCTTCTCTGAGGCCTGTATTGTTTAAATGTAACTTTCCTACCTTTTGAGTTGTGAATGCCGTTGCCATGATTCTGGAGGACTTTCATTGGAGTTAGTGTGATATCGTTATTGCCACACTCGCAATATGCCAGTTGTCGCTAGCTAGCTAGCTGGGTAAGCGGAGTAGATAACCGAATTTCCAGTTCATAATTTTTACATAGTATACTTTCATTATTCCATCTATTCTCATAAGTTGCTAACACTTCTAAATCATATCTCATTTCGCTTGTGATTTGAGCATTTTCGTCAGTTACAAAAAAGATGACACTGATATTCCATTTCTCTATGCTTTCATTGAAAGAATAGACATCACTTGACTGACTTTTCTGATGAATTTCACCAGTTGGCGTAATCTCTCCTTCAGTTGAGAAGTATTTCCTGATTTCATGGAAGAATAAGTTGATTTATTCTCTGCCCTGAGATTTTCGTACCTCGGTGTACATCCAATATTCCCTTTTTCTATCTGGATTCAGAACAGTTTAGTGTAAACAAGGCGAAGTTGTTGCTGGGTTGTGGCTTATCATTTACCTATTACTCAAGCTGTTCAACCAGACCCATAACCTGATGGTTTCTATTAACCGCTGTTTTATCGCCATAAAAACAGACAACTGTCAGCATAAATGGAAGGAACCTGTAAGAAACAACCTCCTTTACCTACCTACTACCAGAGAAGCATCGTTTCAACTACAGGCGGATGGAACTGACGAGGATATCAAAGCAAGGATCGGGAAAGCAAGACAAGCTTTCACTACTCTCAAGTCTGTGTGGAGGTCAACAGCATTCAGCATCAAAAATAAGATCCGGATTTTCAACTCCAATGTGAAGTCAGTGTTACTATACGGATCAGAGACTTGGCGCGTCATAAAGAGCATCTCAAACAAACTACAGACCTTCATTAACAGTTGTCTTCGCTCAATACTCAAGATCAGATGGCCGGCAGAAATGATCAGCAACAGAGATCTCTGGGAGCGAACCAACCAGGAACCGATTGTGAAACAAATAGGCAGGAAGAAATGGAGATGGATTGGCCATACTCTGAGGAAACCATCAAGTGACATCACTAGACAATCCATTGCTCGAGTGAAACCCGAAAGGGAAGCGGCGAGTTGGTCGTCAGTGCGAGGGTGACTTGGAGGACGTCATGTGAAGAGGAGATGAAAACGTGTGGGCAGACTTGGAGCCAGGTGAAGACTCCAGCAGAGAACTGAACGCAATGGAGACGCACGGCTGAAGCCTTATGTTCCTCTGGGAATTAAAGGAAACCAATAATAATAATATATTAACCGCTGTTTTATCGCGGATTGTATTCCTAATTGTGGTGCGCTAGACTATGCTGAAGACCGTATGGTGCGGGAAGACAGGGATACGTTGGATGACCGATAAGAAGACTCTAGAAGACCTGGACTTCTCGGGTGATTTATATCTGACGCTGCGTAAATTCGAAGACCTGGAAGTTGAAAGCCAACAATTTGGAAGAAGAGGTAGACAGCAAAGACAGGACTTCAAGTGAACATAGAGAAGACAGAAGTGCTGAAGGATAACCAAACAGGCAATCAACAACAACAAGAAGCACCGATCACTATCATCGGAAGAATTTTGAAAAAGGTAATTCCCTTCACTTGTCTAGGAAGCATCATTTCAACTACACATGACAATATGGATGAGAATATCAAAGCCAGAATATGAGAGGTAAGGCACACCTTCATCACTCTGAAGTCAGTTTGGAAATCTTCAGATTCTCAACACCAATGCTAAGTCAGTCAGCTCTTGTGTATGGGTCAGAAACTTGGCTATCGTGTCACAAAAAGCATTTCCAACGACTACCCGCGCTTCGTCGAATGAAATAGCCCGCCAGGTCATCGCTTGAGTGGGATCCTATCGGGAAACGACGAAATGGGCTTTGGTTCGAAGGGGTGACATGGAGAAGATTGTGTGAGGAGGGGGTGATGTGAGACTCTGGTTAATCGTGGGACAGGCGAAATGGATCGCAGTGAATACGACAAAGAGGAGATGTGCTGTTGTGACGTCTTATGTTCTACTCACAGAGAACCCAAGGGAACAATAAAAATAATGTAAACTGCTGTTTACAAAATGTACACCGAAACACAAAATGAGTGACTCTTGAATATATCATACAGATTTTATTTATTTGCTAATGAGTGAGTATACTTTCTCACCTGGTGGTCGCCTTTATCAATTGCAGTGTTGCTTAGTACAACACATTTCATGGTCAAGTTGATTATTTGCCATGTAGCTCTATCTGTTTGCATACAATTTTGTATGATAGTTAGTTGTTCCTACTACTACTATCTACCAATTATGGTTTACATACTAACAAAGCAGCTTGTGAAAAAAAAATGTAGCCTACTACTACTCTGGGTCACTCATCACTTGACTAGCAGTAGATCTAGATCTCGATTCATACTCTACCTGCCTTCTTCTGGTCTACTGGACAGTGTTAGAGATCCTCACGTGATTATGTGGGTTTCGTAGACTTGTGTCTTACAAATATGCAGAAAGAAATAGGGATTGCATTGTAAACCTACACTGAGAAGAGGGCAAGAGAGAGAGAGAGCTTCAAGCTGTATGATATTTCAAAATGAATAGGTATCGACGGGTTAGGCTTCCATCGGTAACATGGTGAAGATCATCACTTTGTGAAGAGACAGATAGAAAAGAAGACCGCAGAGAATAATGTGAAACATAGGGATGTGCTACTGGAGGAAGTCCACTCTTCCAAGGAATGAATATATATTATACCAGACTGGGACATCTTCCAGTGCATCGGTGGCATAGGAGTTAGGACACTCGCCGACCATGCACATGGCCCGGGGTTCGATCCCCAGCCGACGCACTCCTTTACCTCACTAAGCCAGTAATAGAACTGGCAAAAAGGGAAAGTTGGACATGAGGCTAGCTTGAAGCCCTATGTTCCACTGCGAACGTGAAGGAATAGATAAAAAGGGACAGCTTTCAGAAAAGGCTAGATTAATGAGCATTACAAGTATTAAATATCAGTAAGGAGTGTTCACTATGCATGTAATCTCTTGTAATCTTTTTTCGTTTTCTTCTTCTTCTCTCTTCGTTTGACAAAAAAATAATAAAGTCTCGCGAGAAAATCTTGGAGAGGAATGCTGCAGTCAATGCTGAAGCATCCGCTAGTGCGCATAAACTCTGCGATCATTATCGTGAACGGTCGGAATTGGCTGAATACGAGGCGAGTAAACTGCGTATGCTACAAATGGAATCAATTAGTAATATACACAATTATAAACGTCAACTTGCTTATCAAAAAGAACAATTAGAAAAGTAAGTATGCTTGTTATAAGTATAAAACTTGGGCACTGTGCTGGTAGAGTATAACTCCATTGTGGATAAGATTTTATTTTGATAAATCACACAGTGTTGTTATACAGTAATATTAACTGATGACCACGTTTCGAGCACAAACTATTGCCACTCATAATCATATCAAGTTATTACCCTCTTCTGATTTGACTGACTGGTGGTAATAATATCTTCCATGCATATCTCTGGTATTTGCATTGAGTCATTTCTGTTGCATTTGTTGGGTGTAGACTCAATGAACCAGGATTCAGTAATCAATCTCTCTCGCTCTCCACCTACATAGATTACTTCTTAAAATCTTAACCCTCTCCCACTCTATTGTGTGTGTGTGAAAGTGTGACTCATAGGACCAAGCTGCCCACTGAGGAAATTATTTTAGGAATCCAATTATGCCTCACATCTACTATCTTTAAATTCCAAGGCAAAATATATAGACAAACAAAAGCTGTAGCAATGGGATCACCAATATACCCTATTGTAGCAGATATCTGTATGGAAAGCTGGGAAAATATTGCTCTTAATGCATTTAATCCTGAAAATATGGTGGAGTTATGTGGCTAACACTTTCACAGTGTTAAAAACAGAATATATCTCTAGCTTCTTGAAACACACCTATAAACTCACTAGTAGAGGAAATATAATTCACATTTGAATGGGAAAACGAACGAGAATTAGCTATGTTAGATTGTAAAATCAAACGAACAGAATAAGGTAAATTGCACACTAGTGTTTATAAAAAACCAAAGCATTGTGCTATTAGGTATTTAGACTTTAATTCGTCTCATCTGTTAACTGTTAAGGCAAGCTTAATTGTCTAACAAACCGAGCAGTAGCACTGAATAGCACAAAAAAGACCTAAATGATGAAATAAAACAGAGAGAAGAGGCGTTGGTGTTAAATAATTATCCTATAAAATTCATTAGGAAGATCAGAAAAGGTCGAAAGCATAATAAAAATAATGCGGAAACTAGTAATGGTAGCATAAATAAGCGAGTATATAAGGTATTTACAGTTTTACCATTTAAGGGGGGAAACATCTGAGACCCTACGTAGTAGGATTCCTAATAAAGCAGGAATTAGGATGGCATTCATACCTACAAACTCACTCAGATAGGACAAGCTCAGTGGGCTAAAAGACCCGGTGGACCCAATTAAACAAAATAATATGATTTACAAAATACCTTGCAATAACTGTGCGGTCAACTATATAGGTCAGACTAATAGATCAGGCGTAGTGAGATTGCCTGTCAGAACATAAGAATTTAACTAAGGTAAGAATAGTTGACCTCGAGAAGATAAGTGATTTAGAAAAAAGCTCAGCACTACATTGCACTGCATGCATTAACACACAACCACACAATAGGATGGGGGAGGGTTAAGATTCTAAGAAGTAATCTATGTAGGGGGAGAGAGAGAAAGAATGGTTGATTACTGAATCCTGGTTCATTGAGTCTACACCCAACACGTACAACAGAAATGACTCAATGCAAATACCAGAGATATGCATGGAAGATATTATTACCACCAGTCAGTCAAATCAGAGGAGGATAATAAATAATCTCAAAATTCTGTTTCAATTCACATACATCATAACATTCTAACAAGTTACTTATTTATTTTGACTATAAAAACACTCGTCTTATTTCCCATCTGATTGTATTTGATCAATAACACTCATATTATTATTTCTGAATGTACATTATCTCATATTGATTTTTATTCAAATGTCTAATCATCAATTCCACTCATGTATATAAATGAAGCAAAAAAAATTTGTGTAAGTGACTTGATATGATTATGAGTGGCAATAGTTTGTGCTCGAAACGTGGTCATCAGTTAATATTACTGTACAATAACACTGTGTGATTTATCAAAATAAAATCTTAACCATAATAAGTATGCTTGTCTCGTTTTGTTTGTTTATTCGTTTGTTCTTTCGTGCAGTGGAAGTTTTTGTTTGGCTTTGTAGAAAGAAGTGTTCAATTTTGAGTTGACCACTCACTGTCTAGGTTAAATAATGTAAGCGTAGAACTTGGTCTTTGTGATAGATATTTGAAAAGTTCCATCAGTCCTAATGAAAAGATTGCCGATAACGACTGAGCACAGATACGAAGGTTTGTGTGACGCTTGCCAGCTTACGTCATCTCTGGCGTAGACATGATATCCGGCTATTCACTCTGTCCTTCTATACGGTTATAAGATGTAGTCGTTGTAAATTAAAATAAAAAACTTGAACAGGCTAGCTGTCTTTGACAACACGTGTTTCCGTTCTATCCCCTGTGTGTTGTTAAGTGGTCCAATATACTGAGTTATACTGGAGTTGGGCATACAATGTTAGGTAAGGGGGGTGACGTTGTCATGTTTCGACCGATTGAGATGGCTAGAAGATTGTTGCTCATACCGAATCGTCGCTTTCCTCGTCGAGGAATGTTAGCTTGCGTTGAATTAGGTTGTTAAAGAGTTAGTGGTGGTGGCGGGTCAAACCAAAACATGCCACCAGTCAGTGAAATCGACAGCAGTTAGTTTAAGCCACCCAGTCACGTAGGGAGATGTAGACTTCCTGACTGTCTAGTTGGGGTCCTCGGGACGGTGAACGCCAGTGGCTGGAAACAATCGGTGATGTGGCTCAAAATTGTTGTTAATGGGTGGCGCAGATGCATCAACTCCTTGTGACTTATTGTATCCAATGAAACTATATTGTTCTTTGAAATTACTATTCCTTTTGTCTCATATCCCTGTCTACTGTCTCTATTATGCATTTCTTTTTACTTTCTTCTCTTGCTTTGTGTGCTGCATGAAGGGAGTGTGGCGACTTGAACTGCTGCACATCAGTGCAAAGTCCTATGTCGAAAACAGACAGACCTATGTGACTCAAATGAAAAATCAAAGACTTCTTAGATTGATGTCATGCTTTTTTAAAATTTAACTTCCCGCCTTACTGTTCTCCAACCCAATCTTGCTTCAAATAATATTACTGGATGACAGAGGTGATGTCTTGGCATGTGTGTAACACTTGTGCGCTAACCTTCAGGTCAAAGTCCGCTGGCCTCTTTTTATCCCTCCTCCTCTAGCCTTAAGGGGAGGCCGAATGCGCAGATATCTCTTGGTGGATAGTCGTATATCCTGCTGGAGCTGAAAATAACTCAGGCTGGCAAATACCAAGCGAACCTTTTGTATGCGTGCCGAGATCTAGTCAGCTATCATCAGTTCATAAGGTCTGATTCATCTCCTCAGATAAGTGAAGCCGTCAGCACATCCAATAACGTCGAACAACCAATATACCTGGCTCCACAGGAACAAGTGAACTAGAAGCACATAAAAGTACTCAAATGCGAGATGTTGTTATTCAGGCTCCTGCAGACCAATAGATGACTGTAAAAGACTACTCTTAGCGTTTCTGTGAAAATGATGAAATTCTCCTCTTAATTATATCACAAATTGTATCCCCCTTGAAATCAAGGTTCATGCAAAGTTTGTTTTTTGGTACAACTAATGTTTCGTTCCTCTGAACTTTCGGTTTGATATTTTTGTCTGTGAATCTCATTTGGTATTTGCATTTTGGATGAAAATTTCGTCCAAATGGTTTAAATTCTACTTCTAGAGCTGCAGATGCGGTGGATGCGACAAGCACGAGGGATGTAACTATCGTTTTTTCCAATAAACACCCAACTGTAGAAACTCGTTGCTTGACTGTTCCATGTGGGTTTCCTTTGGACTGTCGACCATCTTATGATTCTGTCGGATCTTTATGTTACTTCTACGTCAAGAAAGGGAATTTTATTGCTGGATGGTAGTTGTTGGTTATCTGTATTCTACTTAATATGACCAGTTAGCTTTTTAATTTCGTAAATAAAGCCTTTGATACATCCGTCTACGCGTCCTCTATACAGTAAACTTTCACAGGTTTGTTTGTTAACCTGTTACACAGTGCGACTAGTTTCTTCTTACATAAGTCTCTGTTTTTCAATAATTTTTTTCCAGATATGACGGTAAAATCGCCCAATTAATGGAACAGTTAGAAGCTAAACACAAGTCTTATGAAGGTCAGTATGTATTGTCTTTCTTGGTTTTACTTCGTTCATTATTTTTTCTATAATCTTATTCTTGTGCACTCCTAGTGGAACATATGGGGCTTCAAGCTTGAGCTGCAAATTTTCAGTAGCGGTGGTTCTATTTCTACGGGGTGGTGTGGTTGCTAGCCCCCCCTTTTTGTCGGCCCTACAACGGACTAAGGAGGAGGTAAAGGTGTGTGTCGTCGGCCAGGATTCGAACCCCGGTCCATGTGTGGCGTCGTTGACGAGTGTTCTGCCACTGACGCACCAAAGTGCCTGTTATGCCGAACACACTTTTTGCATTCTTTCGCCAGTAGATAGTTAATTGTCACGAAGTATTTTTGAAGTGAACGCTCGCATCGGATTGTTGTGATGTGATTGCAGTTTGTTATGGCTACATTGTTTAGATTTAAGTCAAATATTTAATAATCTTAGAAAGAACTTTCTCTAACTGGCTTTTAAGTCACTGCGTCGATGGCACAGCAGTTAGGACGCTCGCCGACCATGCACATTGTCCGGGGTTCGATCCCCGGCCAATGCACACCTGATATCCATGGTCGGTCTGCTAAATTTCGGCTACCGATATCACCTGCTGAGAATCAAAAATACTGTGTGGAGTGAAGCTATAATAAAATTTTTTAAATATAAGTTAAACGAGCTTTCATTGCTGATGAGTTATTTTGGTCCAACGTCTTTCTCCCTATGTTAATGTCAGAAGCTATGTACACTTTTCTAAACCCCTGTGTACATTATCATTGTATTCGTTAAATGTCGGTTTTACAATGCTGCAATGCACATAGTCTTGCTCTACACCACCTGACATCTCCAACGTGATTTTGTGCATTTAATTATCACAGCCTCTGTGAAATTACTTGCATCCCGTAGTATCATCATTTAAGTAATTCTGATTTCCAGTGGCGTGTGTTTGGTTACAGTGTAGATGTCCTTTAAATCACCGGGCTTTCGTGGACCGAACATATACAACGAGAATGTCATCCCATCGCAGTGGCTCCATTGCATTTCAATATTTGTTATCTCTGGGACTAGCTGGAAACAGTGGAAGTGTGGTGACAGCTGGCTGCTAGCCAAATTGCTAGACGTTAATTTACGTCAATGTTTATGTCACAAATATTGGTCGTGAGAAAAATGAGAACAAAGACTTTGCGTAGGCGGATACAGTTAGCATATAGATGATTTGACATTCAAGAAACAGCTACAAAGAGATGAAAGATTAACTTTCAGTGAGAAACAAGCAATCAGAAGACTGTTTGTTTGCTTACAATAATCTATAATAATGCATATGAAAATCTAAAAATATGTGTTGATTTCCTTAATAAACGATCTGTTGCCTGGCCCTTGTCTTCTGTTGTTACTGTAGGACGGTTGGTTCATAGCCTGGTGTGTTGTGGGAAGAAAGACAGCTGTCTTAGGTCAACCACCTGTAGGTGCATCATAACTCTTACCGGGTGGAATAGTTGGAGAGATCATTTGAATCAGTGGCCTTAAAACATTATTTGTAGAAATTCCTTATTTGCTCTTTTATTGTTATACATATATATGTACATGTATTGTCGTTGTTGTTTCTAGAATCTGAATTAAAAGCGGAAACTCTTCAAAACAAGCTAAAGTCAGCTCGTGAACAAATCAGATCGATGGATTTAACGATAGACGATTATCGAAACCAGTTGAATCAGGCTCAAAATCAAATTCAAGCTCAAACAGCACAAGTAAGTTTTCCTTTCATAGACCTCGATAGACAGACAGACTGACTGACTGGCAGACAAGTTCGGTGTATATTTAAATAATTTGAGTAATATGTTGTTATAACCGGAGTGTTACTGACTCTACATGGTGATTGTCGTCTAGCTTGACTAGTATCCCCCCCTCTCGGGCACGACTCTATAACCAACTGACCACTTGAAAATATCTCCTCACACTGAGATAGACACAGAAGTTGGATTCGACCGCGAAGATGACGATGTCTTTTAGACTGTCGTCCTTACCAGTGCCTTTTATGAGTGAGTGGGAAATCACGACAGCTTTGTATCATGACTCCACAAAGTCAGAACCCAGAGGCGTCATTATTGAATTCCAACCTAAGAGGCTGAATGGTCAACGACCTTGGTCGTGTAGCCTGAATGTCCTGAGTTCTATCTTTGGTACGGCTATGTGTGCACACTGATGAGGGGTCCCGTAGTGGAACAATACGGCTGTCTAGTTCTTCGGGGTTTTTAATGACCTCTCTAACTGAAAATTGGTTCGTGATGAAACTTTACTAAGTAAAAGATTATTGTTATTAACAATTATGAATGTTCTAAATAACATGCGATTATCATGAGGACTAAAAATTGAAATTCAGAAGCATCGGTGAGCGGCAATATGCGTTAATGTAAATGCTAAGTTGAGTATGAGATAATTTAAGAAAAATAATGCAGAGTTTGTAGACGAAAAAATGCTAAAGTAGACTGGACTGGACTGGTTTCAACTTAGAACTTTTCACAGATGTGTACCAGTTCGAGTTGCCATGCAGCACACTAAGCAAGAGAAGAGAGTAAAGAGAGATTCAAAAGAGAGAGAGATAATAAACAGAAGTGTGAGGAAAAAGAAAAGTATTGTGGAAGAACAATCGGATTTTACTGGATATTATAAATCATAAAGAGTGAATGCATCTGCGCCAGTGAATACGATTTCGAGCCATTGTCTTCAGCCTGTATTGGTTCTTACCATCTCAACGACCCCGAACAGACAGCAGTCTGCACCTCCCTACATGGCTGCTGGCTTAAACTAACTGTTGTGGATTTCATTGACTGATAAAGCCATGTTTTCGTTTGACCACCACTAGATCTTTTACAACCTGATCCTATGTTAGCGGCTAACACTGATCGTCGATGAAGGTGGCGACTGGGCATGCCGTAACCATCTCAATCGGTGCAACTTCCCAAACTCGTCGATTGATTTCTCCTCCTTACCCGGCACTCGACACCTAACCAGAATATTACTCACCGTATTATCCCATCTACCACATACAGGAGGCAGGACATAGACACCTATGATCAAAGACAGCTAGTCTATACATTCACATCTTACACTTTTAATGGCTACGTCTCACTTGCAGCCATAAAGGAGGACAGAGTGAACTGTTGAGCAGTACACACATCCTTTGGTTGTTAGCCAGCTGGATATCACATCTACGCCAGAGATGACATAAGTTGGCATATGTCAGACGTGCCTCCTATTTCCGTGCTGAGATTTCGTCAGCTATCAACCGGTTGGGTCTGATGCAACTCCCCAAATAAGTGAAGTGGTCAGCCACTTCACTCCCTCCCTATTTTTAAGCTAGGAGTTAGTCAATGTAGTCCAGTCCTATAGCACTGTCTTACATTTGACAGGATGGCTTGAATTGCATGCCGAACATTCGCAGATTGCAGCTCAAGATGTTCAGAGGACTCTGCAGTTTGTCAGCGTCTTCACTTAGGAGGGAGGACTATATAACTTGCATATTCCAAGTCAACGAGGTTACCATCCCCTGGTAACAATTCGATCCCTGAGTTGCTGGAGTCAGCTAAAGTTAAGTCCGTCAGTATACCTATGATGAAATTATAGAGGAATGGGGACAGTGGGCATTCTTGACGGACACCACTTGAGATGACAACTCTCCGTAGGCTCTCTCTCACCTGACTGGCTGCATGAGTTCGAGTAGAGTGAGTGCCTTGATCAGTGTGATGCAGTTTCTTGTCATTGCCTTCACAGCCAAACATCGCCATAGTACCACTCGGTCAATGGAATCGAATGCCGCTTTCAAGTCAAGAAATATGACTAAAATAACAATAGTGGCCGGACATGTTTTTTTGTGCACAGAGTTCCAGTTGTTTAAGGCGAATTACACTGGCCTATGCTACTCAGAGTAATTGGTACATAGAGTCTTTTGGCGATAAGTAATACAAAAAGATTCTTGAATATTCGCTTGATGACCTATTTGGGTAAAGCAGTCTAATGTAGAATTGTTGATTATTTTCACTACACCTTCATTTAACCATACTGGTGGTAAGTGTTCCAGGGCATGGAAAATTATCTTCCTAGAACAATGGCTAATATAACTGACTCCATAGGAGTAGGTGAATTGTGATAGATACAAGAAAAGAGGTAGCTAACCGAGGTTCTGCATCGTCCTTCAGTTGAGTAATGGTGTTGTAGAGATATGTGTGGCAGCTTACTGGGATTAAAAATTCTTCGAATCAATCAACCATCGCCTTCCTCGACGGGCTGTGTTAGCTGACATAGGGTCAGCTTGGCAAAGATCTTGTGGTGGTCATAGGGAAAGATGGCTTCACCAGTCATGAAACCCACAACAGTTAGTTCAAACCAGCCAGTCACGTAGGGAGATGTAGACTTCCTGACTGGCTGGTTGGGGTCCACGGGACGGTAAACACCAATGAAGGCTAGAGACAATTGATGATGATTTCGCATTACGTTTTACTCTAATCTCTTGCTCTGTATGCTAAGTGAAATGTGGAGACTCGAACTGCTGCACATCTGTGAAATGTTCCACGTTGAAACCAGTCAGTCAGTTGCCGCCTATATAATCAGGATCGTTTTCACTGTTTACGGTGTGTCAATTCCCTGTATTTCTATGGTATGGTGAACTGTGTTATAGTCATAATGCGCTCCTTAAAAAGTACATTTAAATAGTACATCCTCAGTTCCTTTTTTATTACACTAGTATCATTCATTGTTTTAATGCATCGCTCCTATTTTTCGTCTCTTTTTAATATATATAAATTTAGATTAACAAATTCACACAAATCACACGACTTATTAACGATTTGACTGGTAATCCATCAGCTGAATTGGGTACTTCTCTAATTACAACTGCTGCATCTGATCGACCTACACCACCGCCGACAACGACAACAATAACTGATCCAATCGCATCTCAATCGGTTTGTGACACTGGTCGAATTACTTCAGTGTCAACGCGTAAAGCAGCAGCCAGTCGAAATACCCGACACTAATATGAGTGCAGAAATATTGACGTGAATTATCCCCTTCCCCCCCCCAACCCCCTTGTCTTCTTTTGTAAATATACAGATATACGAATCTTTGTTGCTTAACGAAGCTAAACTGTTCGCTAGTATTTTTGTTATCCCCCCTCCCGGTATGATTGAATAAACCATTAATTAACTGCTGTTAATCTATTTGTGTGTAAAATACGTATTCATTCACACGAACTTCAATATATCCAATATCGATTTTACGAGCTAGTATGAACCAATTTGATTTCTTTGTGCTCTCCTCTTGATTGTGAGGTATAGGTTCTTGATCTTCGGTAAACTTCTGCGTGGCTTGTCCCGCCACTCGACTGTCATAGCTTTGGTTGACTCCAAAAGGAGTAGTGCTGGGATTAATTATATGTGGTTTGTAGTATGAGGTGTGTTAATACTGTTACTACGGTGAATGGAGTTAATCCTTTCACCAGTTAGTCCTCCGTTATCGTCGTCAAAAGAAAAGAGATAATAATAATAGTAGATATAATTAGTGAAGTTATTCAGACAGAAAAAGAACAAGAAAACGTAGGAACAGTCAGTTGATTAAATTTGAGGAATAATATGAATTATATGTTTATATATATATACCGGTAATAATAATAATAGGTGTAGTTAAAGCTGTCAGTAGAGAATGTAAAGAAGTAAAATGACAAATTTAATTGTCTACCCCCGAATAGTGTATGCGATTTTAAGGGGATACGACATTTGGATGCAGTCCTTGTGTCGCTGCATGGTTGTCCAGCCTTCGCTTAGAGGCGTCCGCGGACGGTGCCATAGCTACATCTGCCAGGAAGGAATTCCAGGGACGACAAACCCGCAGGGAAAAGAAGTGGGAGCGCACCCGGGTCCTTGCCCTCTGGTGAGCTATCCTGCTAGGATTTCCACGAGGGAGCCTATACCTACTCAATAGCAGGACACCTTTGTTTGGGTGATTCTGGTCATTTGTTATTTTGTAGGCAGTAACTAAATTCCCCCAAGACGACGGAAGCTAAGTGTGAATAGGCCTAATTTCTTCAGCCTTTCATCATATGGTTTGTTTCGGAGACCAAACACTCCTTTTGTTGCCCATCGTTGGACTTGTTGCTGCTATATTTTGACTGAACTAGAATACACGTATATCTTAGTACTTCTTCGCGTTTATATTTGTGTCCTAACGTTGTGATTACTCGACATCCACAACGTAATTCAAAAGGCACTTGCGAAGGAATACGACAGTGTATTATTGCAGCAATCAAAATTCAAAAATCGAGCGAGTACAGAAAGTATCAATTGTTAACATGCAAGATTTAGAGTAATAAACAAATCGAAGTACAATTACACAATGAAAGTATATTGCGATGATGAGTAATAAAACGGGTCACTACAATAGCCCCTCCGTAGAATGCAGGTAAATGAAGTTTACCTGTATTCGGAATGATATTGTAAATTACAAGAACAAAAAAAATATGAAAACCGAATTGAGGCTTTTAAGTTTTCTGAAGTTCGATTATAACTGTATATATTCGAAAATGTTAACAACTTTGAAACGAACTAAAATGTTTAGAAAGTTGTGCAACATGTAACAATAAAAGCAGAAAAATTATTATTAGAATAATAATGAGGTTGTTATTGTAAAGAGTTACAGAATAGATTTATATCTTAACATACAGTTAATATTATCGTAATAAGGTAGTATGGAAATGAATTAGAAATAAATTGTCTGTACAAATCTTTGTGGCCAATGTACTCGTCTGCCTGATCTTGTGATTCTTTCTGTTTTGTTAGACGGAATATCATCAGATTTTGAATCTTGAGAGCAGGAATCATTTTGTGGCGTGATTTTAAAAAAAAAAGATGACTTGGGTAAACATTCAGTCACCTCTATTTCCATGAAAGCTGGTTCTACTCGATCGATGCTTACAATCTCGTGTTTTCCTCCGCGTTCGACAGTGATGATTTTGCTTGTTCTGCTTATTACTTTGAATGGTCCGTCATAAGGTGGTTGAAGTGGTTTCCTTACACCGTCGTGTCGTATGAAAACATGCGTGCAATTTTCTAGTTTTTCAGGCATGTATGCTTGGTTGAGCTGATGTCGCGGTGGGTGATATCTTAAAAGGCTCATATGTTGTCTCAGTTGTTGTACAAAAGTAGTTTCGTCAGTTGGAACTTCAGTGGCTGGGTTGAAATATTCTCCAGGTAGTCGTAAAGTAGTTCCATAAACTAATTCTGCTGGACAACATTTGATATCTTGTTTTATTGTCGAACGTATTCCAAGAAGTACAAGAGGTAATTTATCGCTCCACTTATCATCGTCCTTCACTGCCATCAATGATGCTTTCAGTTGACGATGAAATCTCTCCACTAAGCCGTTTGAACTGGGATGATATGCAGTAGTACGTATACGTTTGATTCCCAGTAGTTCTGTGAGTTGTTGGAATAAATGGCTTTCGAATTGGGAACCTCTGTCTGTAGTAATAATAGTGGGCACTCCGAAGTTGGAAATCCAATTTTGTACGATGCTCTTTGCAACGGTTTCAGCAGAAATATCAGGTAAGGGACAAGCTACTGGCCATCTCGTAAATCTGTCAATACACGTTAAAATGTACGTAAAGCCATTAGATGGTGGTAATGGCCCAACGATGTCAATGTGTATGTGTTGGAACCTACCATCAGATTCTGGAAACTGTCCATTAGGCGAAACTGTATGTCGTTGTACTTTTGACTTTTGGCAGGCTAAACATGATCTGGCCCACTGTTTAATCTCCCGATTCATATTCGGCCATACATATCGGTCACTTATCAGTTTAACTGTTGCTCGGATGCCAGGGTGAGAAATGCCATGTACTTCGGAAAAAACTGATCTTCGCATTTCTAGTGGGACAAAAGGGCGTGGTTTACCTTTGGAAACATCACACGTAATAATTAGGCCTTCATCAAGCATAACATCTTGCAAACGTAAGGAAGTACTCGTGCTATTTTTTATTCTTTTCAGATCCTCGTCCATAGTTTGCAGTCTAGCCATATTTTTAAGATCAAACTGGTCTTTTTCTAAGGTATTTATATGGATGCGGGATAACGCATCTGCTACCTCGTTTTTATGTCCTTTGATGAATCTAATATCTGAAGTGAACTGAGAAATGAACTCGAGGTGTCGGAGTTCTCTTGGCGAGTACTTGTCGTGCTTTGCATTCATGGCCTTGGTTAGTGGTTTGTGGTCTGTGTAGATGGTAAACGGTATTCCTTCTACCATATGACGAAAATGTTTAACAGCAAGATAGACTGCTAGTAATTCTCTACTGAATGCACTATATCTTGATTGAGTGGCGTCTAGACGTTTGGAGAAAAAGGAGAGAGGTTGCCATTTCCCAGCAGAAAATTGTTGAAGAACTGCACCGACGGCGACATCTGATGCATCTGTCATAATCGCTATAGGAGCGTTGACGTCACGACGTACTAGTAAAGTTCCTGAGCTTAGAGTTTGTTTCAGCTTTTCAAATGCCTCGATTGCTGAAGTACTCATGTGCAGCGATTTTGCATGACCTTTTAGTAAATCTGTCAGAGGTTGGGCCAGCTGTGCACAGTGAGGAATGAAACGGCGATAAAAATTGACGAGACCCAGAAATCTGCGTAACTTTTTGAAGGAATCTGGAATCGGGTATTCTTTTATGACTTGCAGCTGTTCTGCTATTGGTCGAATGCCTTGATTGTCTACCTGATGTCCCAAAAATTTTATAGTTTTCTTACCGAATTCACATTTACTTGGTTTAATGACAATTCCATATTCGGCTAAACGTTTAAAGAGTGTTTTTAAGTGATGTTGGTGCTCCTCAGGGGATTTACTTGCAACCAGTTCATCATCGATATAAGCGTAAGTGAATGGGATGCCGTGCAATACCTGGTCAATGAATCTCTGAAATGTTTGAGCTGCGTTAGTCAAGCCAAATGGTAGGCTGACGAACTCGAATAAGCCAAAAGGAGTGGTCACCGCCGTTTTGGGGATGTCCTTGGGCTCGACCGGTATATGGTAGTATGCACGAACGAGGTCAATTTTGGAAAATATCTGAGCACCTGCCATGTTATGGAAAAAATCGTGGATGTGCGGAATTGGGTATCTATCTGCTATCGTCTGCTTATTTAAAGCTCGGTAATCTCCACATGGTCGTATCTCTGTTGAGTTTTTCTTTGGTACCATATGCAGTGGTGATGACCATGGGCTGTTTGACGGTCGTATTATTCCTAGATCCAATAATCTGTTGAATTCTGCTTTTGCTATTTGCATTTTAGCTGGATCTAAACGACGTGGTTTTGCTGAGACCGGTGGACCTTTAGTTACAATATGGTGTGTAACGTTGTGCTTGAGAAAGGCTGTGGAGTAATCGCTCTGTGTCAGTTCAGAAAATTTCTTTAGCAAAATATCGTACCTGGATAATTGATCTGTTGTGGCTACCATCAAGCGAATACTCTCGACATCTGTGGAGATGTCTGAAATCGATAGTTTACGACTGGTATCTATCAATCTATGGTGACTAGAGTCAACTAGCAATTCGTAGTGTTGAAGAAAATCTATTCCAGTGATAGGAAAGGTTACGTCGGCGACTACGAACTCCCACTCAAATGGTGTACTGCATCCAAAATTAAGTTTTTGCCTTCGAGTTCCAAATGTTTTTATGGTAGAATTGTTCGCAGCCTTGAGAACTAGTGCTGGGTTTGGTTGTAAGCGTTCGTTGGGTGTTGGGGGAACTACACTAATTTCTGCACCGGTATCTACCAGGAATCGTGCCCCCGTTGTTTTGTCTGTCACCCTGAATAGACGGCTGTGGGACGTGTGTTGGCCAGCGACCGCAGTCGTCACCGACCGCCGGCCTTTTCGTTTCCCAACGCCACCGTTTGTTGGAAAGCACAAGGTTGTGTGCACCGTTTTGCGTGTACCCCAAATTTGCGATGATACCAGCATATATTCTGTTGTAAGCTATATCTACGCCTATTGCGTGAGTGGCTACGTTGTCTTCTGTACGTTGTGGTAGGTTGTCTATTAACCCTCATTGCCATTAATTGCTCAGTGAGCACGTCGATTTTACGTTCTAAGGCTTCAATGCGTTCGTTTGACGTTTTGTCGACTCTGATGGCTTCTGCTTTATTCAGTGGGTCTATCGTGATAACTTTATCTGGTATTCTGCTAGTGGAAGCGACAGATTGAGGTGTTGACCGCTCGTACATGCGATCCGCGATTTCAGTGAGCCTTTCTATGTCAATGTCGTCGTCTCCGAAAGCAAGAACCTGCTGGATGTTTTGAGGAAGTCGTCGCAGCCAGATTTGATAAAAGAGACGTTTATCGATTTTTCTTCCTGCAACTAGGCTTTGCATATGCCTCATGAGTTGAGATGGGGTTTTATCACCTAACTCAACATTGCTTAACAGGCGATCGAGTGCTTGCCTATCTGAAAGCGAAGTGCATCGCAGTACCTCTTCCTTCAACTTATCGTAAGGCGCTTCTGTGCTGGGATGAACGATGTATTGCCGTATCTGCTCGGCGACTTCGTCTGGTAGCACTGTACTCAAAATGCCAAATTTAGCTGTCTGTGACGTGAGCTTATTGATAGCCAAATAATGTTCCAGTCGAGCAAACCAAAGATGAGGGTCTCTGGGCTTAAAAACTGGTACAGTAAGAGAGACAGCACTAACAGATCCCAGCTCTAAGTTATCAGAGGTATTGGAAGACATGTTACAATTCGTAAAAAATTGGTTTAAGAGTAACAAAATAGCAAAACTTGTGCACAATAAGAATATGGCAAAACAGAAAAATGCAATGCAGGTGCTTACCACAAATTACTGCAGGTTGTGCGGTGAGCAAACACAAGAATGAGTTCGGAATATGTAATAAATATATAGATCCACGAAGGTTAAAGTTTTATTAATCCAACAAGTGTAACAACGCGTCGAGGTCAAAAGTCGTCGTCGTCGGAGTCAGCAAGTTATCGTAGGGCTCACCAGTTTGTTGCTGCTATATTTTGACTGAACTAGAATACACGTATATCTTAGTACTTCTTCGCGTTTATATTTGTGTCCTAACGTTGTGATTACTCGACATCCACAACGTAATTCAAAAGGCACTTGCGAAGGAATACGACAGTGTATTATTGCAGCAATCAAAATTCAAAAATCGAGCGAGTACAGAAAGTATCAATTGTTAACATGCAAGATTTAGAGTAATAAACAAATCGAAGTACAATTACACAATGAAAGTATATTGCGATGATGAGTAATAAAACGGGTCACTACAGACTCTTTCCAAGAGGTTGGCGTCTCTTCTAAGCAGTGGGGGTGCAATGATATTATGCACTTCAAGGTGTGGTCTGACGTATGTTTTATACAACCTTAGAAAGAGCTCAGGAGTGAGTGCACCGAATTGTCTATGTGTAAAGTGTATGACCGCATATGCCCTCGCTACATCCCCCGTGTAATTTACGCTTGTGTCCATTTTCTCCGTTAGAACTAGACCTAAGTCACGTTCCTACGTTGTGCAGGACAAGCTTTCATTGCACAGGGTGTAACTTGCATTCTGCGGTCTACAGGTGCGTAACTTCACTACTTTGCACTTTTTCAGGTTGAAAGTCATTCCACTGGTTACCGCCCAGTCTTCCACAAGCCTTAGATCTGCCAGCAGTCTATCTGAGTCCTCCGGACACTTTATCGCCCTCCATATCTTCACGTCATCAGCGTATAGAAGAGTCGGGCAGCTTAGACGGCATGGTAGATCATTGATAAAAATCAAGAACATCAAAACATCCTGAAACCGTGTTGAGCTTCATGAAGTATATTAGATCTATCGAGATATTCCCTGATGTGATCGTCAATAATACTTTCTAGTGCTTTTGATACCACTGGGAGTAGAGCTACTGGTCTATAACTAGTGGCATTTTGCCTATCCCCACACTTAAAGATCGGAGAAAGGATGGCTCTTTTCCACTCCCTTGGCAGTTTCCCTGATTACATGGAATGTTGGAACAAGTCTCATAAGGGCCTGCAGAGAGCTTCGGCGCACTGTTTCAGAACAGATGGCCTGATGTCGTCACAACCTGGGGACTTTCCAGGTGTGAGTCACTGTAGCTTTTTTAGTACTATTGCAGGGTTTATTTGGGGAGTAGCCACTAGGTCTTCCTCTTGTGAAATAGTAGTGCCACCATTTTGGTTCGTAACGGTAATACCCACATTGCTGTTTAGCTGTTTGGCGAAGGCTAAACTGAATGTTTCAGCCATCTCCATACTAGTGAGATATTGACCACTTGGGTCTACTGAGGCCCTGGCTGGTTGGTTTTCTTTCCGACATGAATCGGTGAAAGTTTTTGGGGTTCGCTAGGAGTTTTTTAGCAAGGTTAGCCTGGAATGACCTCCCGCCCCTCCTGACTCTTGCATTGCACCGGTTCCTGAGTTCCAGGTATGCATCGCGGCCGATCTGACTCTTTGATACGCGCCACGTAAACCAAGCCTTCTGCTTTGCTTGCAGAATTCGTGAATCTGGACCTTTCCGACTAGTAGTTGGTCACTAGTTGGAATGTAGTCTAGTTTTGATGACTTTCCACTAGGGCCCCAACTAGTGTCGTCTCCAGCATTCTCAGTCAGTCCCGTGTTCCGAATAGTTTGCAGTAGATTTCGGTCAAATTTTCCCTTAGCATACCCCGAGCCAAGGTTCAGTGATAGGGCATTGAAATCTCCAGCAATGGTGATTTGGTCATAGCCCAAGTCTCGTATCCCTGTGATAGTGCTGAGCAGTAGCTGATTGTGCTCTGCCCCACAGGTGGGAGATCGGTAGATGCCACCAAGTAAATGCTTGGTGTGGCCTACGGTGAAATGACACCATATAGAGTCTGGGAGTTCAATAAGTGGTGGGTCCGTTGTGAGCACACATTTAAGTTGCCCGTCAAAGTATGTAGCAACTCCCCTTCCTTCCTTATCATCCCTGTCTCTCCTGACCAGAACCAGAACCTATACTGATTTTGTCATCGGCGATAGTGGGGGTTATCCATGTTTCGGTGAGAATGATCATTTTCAGTTGTTGTGTGCTTGGAGATTTCGGAGTTCACACATTTTTGCTCTCAGCCCCCTCACGTTGCTATATAGGCAACTGACGGTGAGTCTAACAACCTCAGCGTGTTGTGGGGTAGCTGACGTGAAGCTGTCTGCTGGTAGGGGACTTAATGTTGGCCGATTCCGATGGAACCGGCCCGTTGTGTTTTTTTCCCGTGGATTTAGGCAGGACACTTGGGTGACACAGACTGTTATTCTCAGAACTGCATCGCTCTAGTGTCACTGAAGCTTGGGGACGTATTAAAGCCTCAGTTTGCTGCCTCCTTATGGTTCGAGGTCTGCTTTCGCAGCATCGGATGTGTCCTCCCACTTTTCCCTTGGTCTCATATCACCGTTGAAGTGCTATGGCCAGCTGCTCCGGGGAGCTGAATGTAACACTTAGTAGCTTTGGAGAGCTAATCAGTGTGAGACGAGCGGGGCGAGATAGTCGGGAAATGGAGGTGGCTCCAGAAGCGCCAAGGGCCATCTGAGATGACAGCCATCTCCACTGCTGTAAGTCATGCATGTGTTTTTCACAGGCAGTGCCCGTTTCCAGCTCCGGAACACCGTGTACCACCATAGAGGCAGAAGGCATCAGTTCCGGTGACTCCCCCGCCATTTTTCTGATAGCCCATAATCTGTCTTGTCTCACCCTTATGTTCTAACTTCCGTCGATGGCTAGTACCTGAGCCATCAATAGTAGTTTTTCAGACTACTAGACTGTATAATGCAGGCGTAGTATCAGGACAGACGAGACCTACACGAGTCTCTAGGACTGGAATGCAGGAAGGGGTCGATATCCCTGGGTTTTTGCCTTCTCTGGGTGAAGCCCTTGTGACTACAGAGTATGGTGTTTTAGTGCCTTTTCTAAGGCTACTTTCGACAGCCATATTAACAATCACTAAAACTTATGCTATATAAGAATAAGAGTGCAACAGTATCTACCCACAAGAACAAGAATAAGACTGAAAAAGTACAAGACAAGGAAAAGAAAGGGTTTCCGACTTTACCTAGTACTTTCTGAATGATCGGCTTCACAGCAATCACGTGGTAGACCAACAAGTCTTGTTTATCTGAACGAGTGAGGAAGATGCTGCTACGGAAATGGCACCTGAAGCTTTGGCAGTAGTTCGAGACAGCTGGACTTACCACACAGAGATTCAATTTGTAAGCAATGGTTGAATTTAATTCACCGGCCAGGAAGATCAGGTTTCCCAAGCGGATAATTCACAAGATAGTTATTTTCCGGTTAGAGAGTAAAAAGCACGTCGTATTCAAGGAGCGCGCCTCTGCACACTGTCCAGAATCCAACAAGCTACCAAATGTGGGAATATTCGACCAATTTGCAAATGATGTTCAAATAAAACTTTCGAGATATGGTATACTAAACTTATTCACTTGCAATGAGTATGTCCCAATAAACATTCCTTCGAGGCTCCTCGGTCGTTTCCTCCTTACAGTAGCACCCGAAATAATCAGATTCAACGAATTTTTGGAGATTTATCATTTCAAATTCTGCATGCGATACGATAAACTTGAAGAGCATGATAGGAGTGCTGATCGTAACAAATTCGTAGATGAGTCTCTCAGGCAGAGATTAAACCATAGTTGAATCGATATTCTTAAAAGGACGGCATGACCGGTTAATCTCGAAGAAGCAACGATCATCAGGATTTATTTAGAAAGCGATTCCATTGCTGGACTACAGACACGAATAGAGCATTTTAAAATGAATCGATTAATGTTGTAGCGGTAAATAAGTCCCCGAAATTATTAACCCACAACAGTCATCATGCCCTGGATACCGATCTTTACAGTTTAAATTGACACGTTTAGCCAAATGCTCACTGTCAGTCACCTACACCTTGTTGGTAGGCCATTGTAATACGTTCGACCTATCGTGCACAATCTATTGCTAGTTAAGCAGTCATCCTTGCGCCATGATTTTGGTCCCAAACTACATTTTGTATTATGTAGTAGATCAGTTCGGTGTTGGGATATGCCTTTGGTTTATCCAGAAAAAAATACTTGAGGAGTTGCAGGATGAGAACTTGTATAAACGTTAACCTCATCTCCTAAACTATGATTATTAACTGTAGGTTCACAAAGTAGCAAAATAGGTGAGAGTTTATTACACTTGCATTGAAAGGAAGAGTTTATTCTAGAATTTTAGACACACCAGGCGCCCTGTATCTTACGCCTAATTCGTTGGTTTGGTTCACTCCATCGAAACTTAATTCGCCAGTCATCATTTCTGCGTCACTCATTCGGTGGCAGGCCGAAAGAGTTGAAAAAACACTGGGGCCAGAACTCTCCAGTTTAATTGTTACTCCTAGAAATAGCCAAGGTATATGAACCTCCACAGGGGGAAATACGTTTCTACAAAGCCTCTTAACTGGTGATTAGCAATTAGCTGCTTTCCTAGACTGTAGTTTAACGTGAAGTTATTTTTCAGGAATGTAGAATACTTACGCTTTACATGGAGGTTATGATGTGCGGAGATTTTGAAAGTATAAGCTATTGGCCCAGCGTTTTGTCCCTAACAGTCACAATATAACTTCCGAGATGACTTCAGCTCACTAGTACGTATTTAAACTAACAATTTTAAGTTGTGAAAGACCAAATAGTAGTGGGGAATATTCGCATGTTCATACACACTCCAGCAGAACTGCTCTCTTGCATTGACAGAGACAATGCCTTTCCAAATAGTGCTGGCGGGAAAACGAGAAATAAGCGCTAACTGTGTATAAGATTCAACCTAACCTACGCCAACCTTCTTCTTTGCTTAAAAGTTGTCAAATGCTCTGAGATGGGAGTTGTTCCCGCAGTTGTCAGAAGTGTTGTTGCGTCACAACTTTCAGAGACAGACGTCAGTTTTGTGAAGGAGGTAGAAAAGATTAACTGAGGTTGTGATAGGACTAAAGTACTGGCTGAATGCCGCTTGAATGCGGAAACCGGATTTATTGTGTATTCACTCTCAATGGTCTATGAACTAAGACTGATGTGGTTGCGGCCTGGAAATTAGTGCAGAAATGAAACAGCCAGATGGACATGTCATCACTACTAAGTTGTCTGTAGAAAAGTCATTACATGGTGTGGAGAAATAAAAGTGAAGAAAGCAATAGCCTTATATAAACTTGTCACAATGTTGTTAGATGCAGGATACAGATCAGTCCAGGCGATTGCTGGGTTAACTATCTTGAAATCCCTCAGGATAGGGAAATGCGTCCGCTATAAAATTCTGGATAAATGGAAAAACCGATGTCTAAACGAACAGCTACGGAACTACAACTCAACATGGCCGACTAACATGGACAAAAATGACCTTTGAGCGTCTCACTCCATTAATGACCTTGCACGCGACGTTTAATTTCAAACAGCAAACTTGATTCACGTGAGTCTGTATCAAGGAAACTGGGTATTAGAACATTGAGCAAAAAGCGGCTAAATTTGATGTGTTGCGTTTCGTTATGCCAGAAATTGTCCCGAATAGAGTTGTTAGCTTTACGAGTGAGGACAAGGTATGTCAACCCCACTAAATTATAATCTTTTGACCTCGGCTACATTCTTGTTTAACTGATTATTGTGGTTAATATATGTTTCCAATGAAATATTGGAAAATAGGTCGTATATATCAACATGTGGCTATTAAAGCTAACAATTTCACACAGTTAATCAACCTTAGAATTACTTCTGTTTTAGGTAGTTCATAAGAAAGTGGTATTAGTGGATAAAACATCTGGTTTATCTGAAATTAGCACCTGCATCTTAATCCACGCAATTGAGTGGATTTTTCTACAGACAGTTAAATAGAAAAGTCAATAAAGATGTGTTCTTAAATTTTCGTCAAGTATCACTGACGCAAATTTATCTACTAATGTCTCTGTACCCGTTATTGTAAATATTACACTGGTCCGTCAATCTGCTATACATAACATGCGATGGTGTTGATTAGCAAGCGAAGTGATAGTTTTTCCTCTCTGAACACAATCTTCACGTAGTTGCTGTTGCTGGTTCTGGTGGATGTAGGTTAATTGCAGTACTGTGTTTTAATATTCATAGTCTAAGCTTGTTGTAGACTTCATTGCAGTTTATAACAACCAATAATCTAAACATATATATCACTAGTTGTGCGCTATTTTATTGTGAAGAACGACAAATTAAATAGTATGCTTCAATTACTTATTTAACATAGAGTCATGCTGCTCTATATTGCTCTGATAGTATTACTGTCTTATTTACTTACTCAGGTTTCTGCTGCATACATTACTGATATGTGCCGTTGAAATCATCAACATCCATATGTACTCGTATGTATATCAGCATATCTTCACTGCTGCTGCTGCTGCTGGATTCAACATAGAACTTCGCACCGAAGTGCACCAGTTCGAGTTGCCACGTAACAAATAGCACACAAAGGTAGACAGGAAAATGAGAGAAGAGAATCAATAGAATTTAGATAAGTATAAGAGTGGAACAGAATGAGTAATGGTAGAAAGGAATATGAAAGATTACACAAGAGACTGAATACATCTGCGTAAGCCATTGACAACGATTTTGAACCATGTCACCTATTGTCTCCAGCCACCATTGATTCTTAGAGTCCTGAGGGCGGGCCCCAACCCGGAAGTCTGTATCTCCCTAACTGACTCAGTTTAACTGTCAGGGATTTCATGGATTGATGCCATGTTTTTGTTTGGCCACCACTTACTCTTTTCCAACCTGCACCTATATCAGCTAGTAATGCCCGTCACTATTATAACTTATGCTTCCGTCATTCCGAAAGCAGATATATTCGCTCAGGGGATATGTTAAAATAAGCTGCTTTATTGCTACAACAGTTGACCTATTTCAAACTTATTCATTTGGACCACAAAGAGTTTCTCAGAATCACGGTCTTATTGGACAGCAGCTCATTGTTAGTAATAGTTTAAAGGAAAAATAATATATTGAGTAGTGGCGAAATACCGCGTCTCAGGAGTACGAACACTCCAGTAACCTTGAACGCATACTACTCGTTGGATAACGGGTCTTACCATTGTTATTAAAGCTCCAGTGTGAATACCTTTCAAGAATTAAGGCGTACATTTCACCTCAATCACGCTCTTAAGTACTCTTTGGACAATGCGTTAATAGCTCGTCAGGGTTAGGATTATGGTTAAGGTATTATTTTATTTTAATTTTATTATCCTCATTTTCTTAGTAAGCAGTCTTCGATCCTCTTACTGGAAACCGTAATAATTCAACCGAAAGGTTATGGAGAAGACTGTAGAACAGGATAAGAGCGATAAACGGGTCGCAGAAAGCTAATCTTTAGTCACCTCAGTGAATAAATGTACAGAAACTGGTCTAACTTGAAAACTGATACTCGTTATAATTCGGAGCTATTTTTAAGTCATGTTAGAGGAAGATACACTGTTTAATGTAGTTTCATGCATTTTTTTGCAACTAAGCGTCACAAATGTAATCTGGCATCAAAATCCTGGTGCAAGAATGACCGTGTAATAAACGGGGACGAACGTAACACGATGGCCTACAAAAATGTTGTAGATGACTGACTGTGACCATTCGGCTAAACGAGTTGACTTAAACAATAAAAGTTGGCATCCAGCGATGAATACTGTAGGCTAATAATTTTGGGGAATTATTTACCACTATATAGTAATGCTAAGTTTGAGACATGACCATTGAGAGTGGAAGACATGATGTAGGGATAGCTGTCTTTGATCATAGGTTCCTGCATTCTATCTCATGTGTGAAGTGGTATAATAGGGTGAGCAATATTAAGGTGAGGCCTCGGTCGAGTGCTAGGTAAGGAGGGGAAATCAATAGACGAGGTTGTGAAGGTACATCGATTGTGATGGTTAGGAGGTGTTACGCACGCCTAGCCATTGCCTCCGTCGACGGGCAATGTTAGCTGACAGGATGAATCAGGTTAGAAAAGACTTAGTAGTGGTCAAACGGAAAGGTCGCTTCATCAGTCAATGAAATCCACAACAGTTAGTTCAAGCCACGTAGGAAGGTGTAGACTTCCTGGTTGGGGTCCTCGAGACGGTAAACACTAATGGCTGGATACAATTGGTGATGTGGCTGGAAATCGTTCTCAATGGCTGAGGCAAATGTATCCACTCCTTGTGACATATCCAATAAAATTATATTGTTCTTCCATATTACTATTCTTTTTGCCTCACATCTCTGTTTATTATATCTGTTTTGAATTTATTTTTCTTTCTTCTCTTACTTTGTGTGCTAAGTAAATTGTGGTAACTGGAACTGCTGCACATCGGTGCAAAGTTCTATGTTGAAACCAGTCAGTCAGTCAGTGTTATGTTTGTGGATCATTAACCAGTAATACTTTCTATAACTTATGGTATTTTAACCATTTTCACTGAGTACACCTACCTCAAATGACGAGGTAGTTAAAGACGAGAAGGGTTATAGGTAAATAAGGTAAACAAATTTGTTAAGTCTTGTAAACCTCTTCACCCGTTTAGATCACTACAAACTGCTCTTAGTCAACAGGATATCAAAGAAGAGATTTCGTTAAAACATGTACACTCGTTCTTTGTCATCTCTTCTTTTGACTGCCACTGTGCGTCGGTGGCGCAGTGGTTAGGACTCTCGCCGACCATGCACATGGTCCGGGGTTCGATCCCCTGCCGACGCACACCTGATATCTATGGTCAGCCTGCGAAATTCGGGCTACCGATATCCATGCTGAAAACTCCATACTTGTACTAAAAATACGGTGTGGCATCAAGCTGTAATCAAATTAATAAAAAAAAATAAAATAAACAATTATTGGATTATTGTACTACCAGGAAATATATCGCAGTCATATTGAAAATGTATGAAATGAAGTATATAAGTTTGTAAAATATACCACGTATCCCTAATTTAACATGTATATGATATTCATAATTGAAATTGAATTGATTCACACCGACATTCTTTTCTTTCCGTTTTTAGGCATTTCCTGCATCCAATCTATTAAAAGGATCATCATTTTCAAAATGGCGTTGCCTTACCGGTGGAACAAAACAGGAAGCAGTGGAATTCAGTGTAAACACAAGCATACCATTAATGCATAATCATAAACATATATTTGTAGTTCTCAGAACCTGTTGAAATTTCACGCATAGACATTGGAAATAATGGTTCTGCTTTTATTGAAGTGTTGGTGCGAAGATCTGCATCATCTGAAGATCCGTCGGTAATTATCCCGATTTAGTGGGCTTTTTTTTACTTCTGTTTTCTGCGTTTTTTTAGGTACTGCTTCCATCTTCATCTTTTATGTCTCCAGTGGATGCAAAAAACGAGACTAATCTTAATCGTGTTCGTGTATTCAGTGGCGATCAGTTTACAAAATCAGTTGCTAGTCAAAAATGGGATATTGTTAAATTTGTCTGCTCTCAACCATTTAACAAAACACTACAGTATGGTATTTCTTTTGTTTTCTTTCATACTCCAGCTACGTCGAATCCTCCAGCTGATGTGAGTTTAATAGATTTTCAATTAGTTCTAATGATTTTTTTTAGAATAATAAAGGAATCAAAGTTGATAGTCTGATCACTGAGGACGATACAGATTCACTTGATTTCAAACCGGGATCACTTTTTCAGGCTTCACGTCAGGCAGTATCTTGCAGTCAAGATAGCTCGGAATCTAAATCTTCAGGTAGGATTAATCTTTTAATAAGGCCTAACATTGAATATATATAGTTTCAGATAAACTTATTGCAGCTAAACAGTCGACGAATGTATCGGCTACTGGTAAGTCGACAGCTATTTTTTTTGAAGATGTATAATTATTCTCTTTAAAAATTTAAAACAATTAGTTCCCTTTATGAATTTAGATAAAGCAATAAGAAGACGTAATTTGTCTGAATCGTGTAATGTATTTGCACAACACATTTCGAACAATCTGATCCAGCACACACGGACTTGTCATAGGAATATACATTTGAAATTAATAAAGAGTTAAGAGGTGAGAAAATAAACTTAGGTCAAGTTAAATGGACATAGTTAAGGTGGAAATAACAATGAAGACCACTAAACCAAATAACAGAGGTAATGATGGTACATCTCCCCTGGCTGCTATCAAAACGAAGTTTACCAAGCAAGGTGGTTTAGTGTGATGACGAATTGTTTTTGATGAACGCATAAAGGTGGTTTAAACTTCTTGATTGGCAGCCAGGGCTTTCACAAACACGTTTTATAGATAGGTTTAAAAGACGTGTAAACATCAATTATATGTCATGTCTCAATATATTTCGCAATAGAGTAGCTAGACCTCCTGTTCACACCATTAATGCGTTCTGGGGATTCTGTTTTCTTCTGAAGACATTTAGGAATATCCTCTGAAGCCAGCCCTTAATTGTAGAGATCGATGAGTCTTCCCTATGGATGTGTGTCCACACTTAAATTCAAATTGGTAAATGCAGTGGGATGTGACATCATTTTTCGCATGTTCAAAGGGCTTAGATGGATATATCAGTTTCATGTTCTCAATTATTATGATCATAGCTGCATAAAAAGTCGTTGTAACCACAGTGTTCAACCGCTGTCGAGTTACCAAGCTGCTATGACCCCATATAGGGTAATTTTTCATATAAATCTTTCTTAGTGGCGAGTTGAAGAGTGGGTCTCAGTGTTCTAGCTACTTTATATCTCCTGATGAACTTGTCTGGATAATCATTATCAACCAGAGTTTGTGTCAACTTCCTCTCTTCCTCCTCAAGTGTGTCTTCAGTGCCTATTCGGTGGGTTCAACTGAAGATGTACCTTACTTCTAACTTTACCTAAATTTATTTTCTCAGCTCTTAACTCTATTAATTTCACCTGTATATTCCTATGACAAGTCCGTGTGTGCTGGATCAGATTGTTCGAAATGTGTTGTACGCAAATACATTACGCTATTCAGACAAATTACGTCTTTCTTTATGCTCTATATAATTATTCTCTTTTAACGTTGAAATTCACCAAGTAAACTTAAATGCTTGACACTCTATATACTACTGATTAGCTGATATGAGTAGTTCAACACCATTCACATAAACGGGTAGTGCTGTCTAGGCAGATCGAAGTCATCTATGCACCAGACAGTCGTTTGCATCGTATAGCGCGCGGCGCTTACCCGCCTCAAAGAGTCGAATCGGTTCTAACCATCTAAAAAACTAGTCGGCTTCTTAGGCGAACGTTAATTTTGCAAACTATGAATGTGATTAAGTTAACTTCCTATTCGTGCATTTTGCCTTTCTAGTTAACAGAAAGATACATTGGGCAGTTGTGTGTTTTTATTCCTTTACGTTCCCAGGGGAACATTGGGCTTCAAGCTAGGGGCTTGAAGTTTCTGTAGCAGTGGTGCTTATTTCTACAGAATGACGTTGCTAGCCTCATGCCCAGCCTTATTACTGGCTTAGCGAGGTAAACGAGTGCATTGGCCGGGAATGGGACACTGGAACCCACAATCGTGGTCGGCAAGCATTCTACCGCTGTGCTAGAGACGCACTACATTGGGCAGTGCACAATATCATCAAATAATACATCAATTCAAGTTGCAAAACTTGTGAACAGTCTGAATTCAGTAGAGTACGATAAGACTTAGATTTATGTCATTGACGATGTTGTCCATTGGATTCAAATGCTCTCACTCCACCTACTTTAGTTTGAGCAAACTGGGAAGTAGTATCATTAGCGTTTACACAATAAATGTGACTCGTAGTCGGGTATCGTGTAACTAACTACTTACAAAGTAATACGAATAGTACGACTACATAGAGAAATTACTATTATTATTGTTCCCTTGGATTCCGAGTGGAATATGATGCTTCAGCAACACATCTCCATTTCACCCTGTTCTCGATAAGTCTTTCTCAGCTAGTTCCACAGATGCCCACCAACTTTCATTTCTTCTTCTTCTTCTTCACATCATCTCCTCTGTGTCATCAATGGCAGCCATGTCGTCCTTTTCCATTCGCGCCTAATAGTCTCATCGTATGTCCAATTCATCTCAGTCTCCCTTTTTGTATATCTGTCGGTCGATAGGTTCCTATTTGTTTCTTTGCCAGAGTTATGTGTTGCTTACCTTTTCTGTCCAGTCATCTAGTCCTCAGTATGGAGCAGACGGCAGGTGTTGATGAAAGTCTTTAGCCTGTGAAGTGCTAAGTCTCTGAAGCATGTAGAAGCACTGGTTCAATCAACATCAGTTTTGAAGATTCGAATCTTGTTCATTATGCCAGGTGCAATAAATTCCCACACTGATTTCAGAGTAAAAAAGGTCTGTTTTGTCTTTACGAACTATTCCTGGCTGATATCCTGATATATGCTGCCTGTAGTTGAAACGAAGCTGCCTAGCCAGGTAAGTGAACAGGTTGACTTCCTTCAGATGTCTTGCGTTGAGGATGATTGGTGCTTGTTGTTGGTCGGTGGGTACGATACCTTCATCACCTCTGTCTTCTTAATGCTCACTTAGAGTCCTGTCTACTCTGTCTCCTCTTGCAACTGGTTGGTTTTCTCCTGTAAATGTTTGAGTTTGTGTGACATTATACATGTATTGATAAAATATAGACGTGGAATTGTAGGATCAACAGATCATACGTCTTCTTATGGCTCAATAACCTAATCTGATATAAGGTTACAAAGAATTAGAAATAAATACATTGGTGGTAGTATATTTATATAGCTGTGTTGGCTTCAATCAATCGTACTAGCATGTAAAGCTCCCTGCTAACAATTACAATTGATTTATCACTGTATGTACCTTCAAATTAGGTGAATTTAATCAAATTATTGGAAAATAGGCAAGATCTGAATATGATATTAGGTGGTTGGAGGCAATCGCCAGGAAGCCCTGTTTGGACCTAGGTTTCGAGCTTGTTGGCGCTCACCAGTCAGCAAGGCGTATCTGCAACAACCTTAAAGGAACTCATATCCCTTCTGAGATTCGAACCCACGTCACCCAGTGCTGAAATCAGAGACGTTACCACTGAGCAGCTATTCGGGCACGCGATTGACTTCCTGTAGACATAAGTTCCTTCAAGGTTGCAGATACGCCTTGCTGACTAGCATGAAACCTAGGTCCAAGCAGGGCTTCCTGCCGACTACCTCCGACCATCTAATATCATCAAATCAATGTGCACCGTGATGGCGAGCTACCTAGTGCCACATTGCCAACTTGGCTGACTGATAGAATTCAGTCTGGACCAGACAAAGGACTAGATACATCACACTAGTATGTCTAATCAAAGGTCTATATTTTTTTAGAACAACACATTTAAGCGAACAATATTGTTTTCAATTAGATCTCATCAGGCTTAACTCTAATATATACAAGTTTACAAATAAAAATTCAAATATAAACCAATCATGGTGTTTTGTCTATAGGATAATACGATGGTGAATATAAATTGTGCAATTAGTCATAATAGTAGTAATGATAATAATAATAAAAATGGTCTTATCAGTAATAAGGATGAAAAAATGAGGCAATCTGTGATAACACGAATAATGAAAAACAGCATGATTAAACAAACAACTGCTCAGGTGGAAGTAGTCGATAAAGGCTAGTAAAAACAAATGAACCGATTAAGTAATGTTAGATTGTAAGGGAAGGAAATGAAACACGTTTATAATGAAGATAAGATTAAGGGATGATAAGAAAGGGGTTGAAAATATAAACAAAGGGTGGTGTAGAAGTCAGTTGGTTATGTCTTAATAGGCCAAGGGAGGGATAATGGCTGTACGAACTTTTTTTGAATACATAGTTTAGGTTTAATAGTTCGAATGCCTATCGCCTCAGCTGTGTGCAGTAAACGAATACGAAGTCTATTGGAAAGATTCGGTGGGATACGATGAATTACTTTGAAGGCTCTCGTTTTCTCGATTACATGACCACTATCAATTAATTGTGACAAAATTGAGCTACGGATTGTTTTTGTCTGTCCTTTGCCAAACCACGATGGGAGATGTTCACTAACACGTTGGCTAAGCTGTCTAGTAGTACGCCCAATATAACTGTCACCGCAGGTGCAGTTGAATTGATAAATGCACATAGATGTGGCAAAGCTATCAAGCTTATCCTTCGTTTGCGTCCCAATCATTCGTTGGCTAGAGAATGACAAACATAGGTGTGCTGCGTAAAACGTTCTTCGTATACTCCTTGAAAGTTTTTGGAATAAAATCTCACTTGATAAGTCACCATTAAATTGTAACTTAATAAATAGAGGTTTCTTACGTGCAGTCAGAGTCTCAGGTTTTCTCTCCGATGTTTTCATATGTTTCTTTATGAAACCACTCGGATAGCCCATCTCCGTCAAGGAATCGTGAATATATTCAAATTCCTTTTGTAAGAGGTCATCCGTACATATCTTTCTTGCTCTGCTCGCAAGACATTTTACAACATTCCTTTTATATTTAATGGGCACGTAACTAAGGAAGTGTGTGTATTGCCCTGTGAAAGTGCTTTTTCTATACACGCTTCTCCCAAGTGACCCATCTTCTCGTTTTCTTAGCAAGACATCCAGGAAATGTAGTTTATTCTCCTGCTCCTCTTCACGAGTGAAGGCAAGCGAACGATGGATGTTGTTGAATTTCAGCAACAATTCGTCTAGAAGAAGAATACATAATACAAGAAGAATATTTTATACATGGTTAAATAAACGGCATTTGCGAGGAGATTGTGGATCCTATGACATGACACCTGAGGATTAGCAAGGGTGGTCGCTGTGAAATGATAAGCCGGTTAGTGGTAGAGTCTCGTAGTCCTTACGGATAGGCCTGTAGACTAGTAAGTAATTTAAAGGTATCTGGCCGGTATCCTACGGCAACCTTGGCTTTCATTTCACTTTCGATTGTTACGTGAATAACGGTCTGCTAACCAAAAACTCTTTAGTAGTCTCACTATCGATTTCATAAACACCATTGCAGTGATTTTGTGAGGTTAGCATTTCTTTCAAAAGACAGATATCTCTTTTTGTTTTAAGTTGTCCATGGGAAGTCTCCATTACAGTCCTACTGGAAGTCAATCACCAGCTCGAATACTTCAATGATAACGTCTCTGACTACTCCACTGGTTAACCAGGGTTCGAATTTCACGAACGGACATGGATTTCTTCAAGAATGCAGATACAGTTTGCTGAGCAATGTCAACAAGCGTGAGACCTAAGTTCAAGGCTTCAACGTGATGGTTTAATAGATATGGGAGACCACAGAGAGTGAATATGTATCTGCGCCAGCCATCAATGAGAACGATTTTCAGCCATATCACAGACAGTCTCCAGTGATTGGTGTTTTATCATCCCGAGGACCCTAACCAGACAGCGATCTATCTACACCTCCTAACGTGGCTGGCCCAGACCAACTGTCAAAGACTTTATCGACTGATCCTAGTGTTTTAGGCTTCACCATCCCTAACTCTTTTTCAACCCAATCCTAAGTCAGCTAATATTACTCGACGAAGAAGACAGTTTAGGACCGGGAGTATACTAACTGCACCGATTTCGAATCTATAACTTACTGGTTAAACATTTAGCGCTCATAGTAATTAACTACAGTTCTCGTTTGTTTTACTTAAGAGTATTCAGGTGTTGGTTTGCAGGGATTTGATTGACTGGGTTACAGGATTTCATCATGAGCTGACATCGGTTAGAGAATCATTGGAAACCACCAACACTGGAGTACTGGACAGCTCTGTTTCGCCCTCCTTCTTTGAGACTCTTCATCAGTACGCACCCACTAGGCGGGATTCTAACCCCAGGACCTTCTGGTTTTACAAGACAAGCTCGTAGACCATTCAGCGACTGAGACCCGATCCAATGGCCAGCCAGTCCATGAATTCCGACTTGTGCCAATTAACAATTAAGCGCGATTGGCACTAATCAGTGTCATCGATGGCGAGTATTTGTGCTCACACCTGACCTACTATACTCCACTGGTCAAGATTTCACCTTGTAATCAGAAGGTCCTGGGTTCCATACCCTTTAGTGGATGCCTGCTTCTGAAGAGTCCCAAAGAAGGACGAAACACAACTGTCCAGTACTCCAGTGTTGGTCTCCACCGGTTGCGTAACCGATCTCAACTCATCATGAAATCCTGTTTTACAGTATTCATTTGAAGTATTAAAATCAGGCACTGACCATTTCTCTTCGTGTACATCCTTACATTTTCTGTAACTTGTGACAACATTTCTAATTTCCCCTTTGTTTTTCCTCCTTCTTATCTTTAATTTTTAGTAAATACACCCAAACCATCAGTTCATCAAGTGAATCGACAAAATACTACTACAAAAGTCAGTAACACTGTTCATCACTCCAGCCAAAAACCTGCTTCTTCGTCTTCTTCTTCTTCTTCTCCTGCCCCTTCTTCCTCTGCTTCTTCGTCTAGTCAAACACCGAAAGCATCTGAAGGACAAAGAACAATTAAACCAACTCAGTCTGCATCGAACAAACCTCTATCAAATGTTATCTTCACACTGAGTGGTTATCAAAATCCCTTACGAAGTCAAATTAGAGATAAAGCACTCGAGCTTGGCGCCAAGTATAGACAAGATTGGACTGCGGATTGTACACACTTAATGTTAGTTAGTTAATTGCTTGTATTTTTATTTCTTTAATTCTAAATATCCATTCTTTTTCTCATAAAAAAGAAGACATTTCAGTTAAATATTTACTAAATTACATTTCCACTACGTATAGTATATACTACAGTTCAGTTTTGAAGTAACAGGAAATCCTTATAAGCTATCATGTAAGATAATGAACGGCGATTAGTAGAAATGCGACTAACAGTAACGATAATCAGTTATTTATACCAGTTGATTCAGTGAGTGGTAACTAACAGTGGAATCAAGACAAGCCGCATTTCGCCTTGTTTAGAACTCATCAGTTGGATGTACTTGCACTCCTCGGTGAGTGATAGCGTGTTCCCATCGGGCTTCAAGCCTAAAGCGTTATCCACTAGATCACTTGGACTGCTATCACTCATTGGAGAATGCAGGTATACATCCAGTTAGTTGACGCGCGAGTCCTAAATAGGACGAAATGCCCATTGTCCTGGATTCCGCTGCTAGTCACCATCTGCAAAAATCACTTCAATTCAAATCCTCAAACATCATCGAAGCATCCACACAAGGAGCGGATGTATCAAAAGAGGCTGAGCACTTCGGTCCAATCGATTAACGGGAAAGTGCAAGTTGAATTGAATTAATACCGATTGTTTGTATTTTTAAAATAACTTTTTTTTATCCATGAATAATTTCCAATCATGCATTAACAAAAAAAAAACAGAACAGAACAGACAGTGTATTCTCCATACCACCTTTTCTTTTACGGTTCCAACCAGGGGCCTGATGTGTGTAGTGTCACTCAGAGATGTCTCCTCATCCCCGTATACCCAATTTATCACCATTTCAAGTGTTGTTTTGCAGGGATTTGATTTGTTTCAGGATTTCACCATGAACTGACATCGGTTGGAGGACCATTAGAAACCACCAACACAGGAGTACTGGACAGCTGCTTCAACAGCCTAGTTTGGGACTCTTCATTAGTAGTGCGCACCCGCCAGGCGAAGTTCGAACCCAAGGACCTTCCTGTTTCATGAAGAGCTCGTAGATTGTTCAGTCAGTCACTGGGGCCCGATCCAATGGCCCATGAATTCCATATTTTGGCCACTGAATTGGGTCTCTGTGAAACAGGAAGAAGGTCCTGGGTTTGAACTTCGCCAGGTGGGTGCGTACTACTGAAGAGCTTCAAAACCAGGACGAAACAGCTTTTGCATACTTGTTAAGCAGTAGGTACTTGGCTAGTTCTCTGCCGCCTGAGCTCCACTCAGTATTGTACAAAGACCACTGTTGAGGATAAGATTTTTCCAGTCTTTTGGAGATGTTTTTCTTAACTATGTAGAAGCACTGAACGCTGACATTAGTGTTGAAAACTCAGTTTCTACTCCTTGTTCTCAGTATTGTAGATGCCCATACTGATTTCAGAGTGACGAACGCCTGTTTGACTTTGAAATCTTCATCTGTACTGCCTTTTGCTTAAAAGATAGATGCTGCTGCTGCTGTCTATGGTAGAAGTAGGAGAGAAGACTTTCAGTCATCTGTTGCGATATTTTATCAAATCTCTAGTGAATGACATTGAACTATTGAGTTTCATTTGCCAGGCAGTGTTTGAATTCATGTTTGATCCAGTAACTTTGAGTAAGTTAAGTCCACCAGTAGTACATCTATTGAATTTTATCATAGATGTATTAATGGACTTAACGCTAGCTCACTTCAGAGACTCAGGGATTGACTTGTTACCAGGGTTTGAATAATCTCGTTGACTTAGAACACGCAGACGATATAGTCCTCCCTGCTAGGTGAAGACGCTGACAAAATGCAGAGTCTTATGAACACCTTCAGCAGCAATCTGCGAATGTTTGGCATGCGATTCACCCGCTCCTTTCAAATGTAAGATGATGCTACAAGACTGGACTACGTCAACTCCTAGCTTAGTGATAGGGAGTGAAGTGGTTGATGGAGCATGTTGACAACTTCACTTATTTGGTAAGTTGCATCAGCCATCCCCAATGGGTTGATTGCTGACGAAATCTCAGCACGGATCCAAAAAGCTCGAGCTGCTTTCGCTAACTTGGCTCTGAAACATGGCCAATACGAGTTGAAGACAAGAAAAAGTTGACTGTTTTTGATTATAGATGTCTACGATCTCTTTCTCACGTTAGGTGGTATAATAAAGTAAGTAATGTTGACGTTAGAGGCGTAGAGTGTTAGGTAAAGAGGGAAAATCAATCGACGAGGCTATAAAGTTACATAGATTGAGATGGCTAGGTGACGTGCTGCGCATGCCTAACCATCGCCTCCCCTGACGGATGGGCATTACTAGCTGATATAGGTGCAGGTTGGAAAAGAGTTAGCGGTGACCAAACAGAAACATGGCCTCATCAATCCATGAAATCCCTGACAGTTAAACTGAGTCAGGTAGGGAGGGAGATGCAGACTTCCGAGTTGGGGCCCGGCCCTCGGGACTCTAAGAATCAATGACTGGAGACAATAGGTGACATGGCTCAAAATCGTTGTCAATGGCTTAAGCAGATGTATTCAGTCTCTTCTGTAATCTTTCATATTCCTTTCTACAATTACTCATTCTTTTTCACTCTTATACTAGTCAAAACTCTATTGATTCTCTTCACTCATCTTCTTGTCTACCTTTGTGTGGTATTTGGAGCGTGGCAACTCGAACTGCTGCACTTCGGTGCCAGGTTCTATGTTGAATCCAGACAGACAGACAGCCTCCATCGATGGGCAATGTTAGCTGATTTAGGATAGATTAGGTTGGAAGAGATTTAGTAATGGTCAAAGGAGGACATAGCATCATTTGATGAAATCCACAACAGCTAGTTTAAGCGAGCCACTTAGGAAGGTGTAGACCACCTGGTTGGGGTCCTCTGGACGGTAAACACCAATGGCTTGCGACACTCCATAATGGTTAATATTTTATCTTGATATATCACGCAGTGTTGTACAGTTATATTAACTGATGACGTTTCGAGCACAAACTATTGCTCATAATCATATCAAGTTGCGACAATCGATGATATAGCTCAAAATCGTTCTCAATGCCTGAAGCAGATGCATCCACTCCTTGTGCCTTATATTACCCAAAAAAACCATATTGTTCTTCGTTATTGCTATTCATTTTGTCTCATATCCCTGTCTACTGTTTCTATTTTGCATTTCTTCTCTTGCTTGGTGCGCTACATGAAGGGAGTGTGGCGACTTGAACTGCTGCACATCGGTGCTGTGCAGAGTTCTATGTTGAAAACAGACAGACGGAAGTGTGTTGTAATATGCTACTTTAAACTAAGCGATCATAATTTTCTTTATTTTAGAATTAATAAAACTGTCTGTCATTGGTCTAGTTACTCCACTTCCCCAAACACTGGGTCATGCGTACGAACTCTGCTTCAACTGCACAGAGGTTTGGGTAGACAGGCAGGCTGTATCGTTAACCCTTATCGCCAAGTGCTTGGAGATGCAAGTAGTAGTAGTTTAACTGACCAATACTTTATTTTTGTCCATAAAAAAATTATAATTCAATCTCTTTGTTAATCTGATAGTGTGGAAAATTCCCATATTATGAATTAAAAGTCAATCTGAACGAAGAATATTCTTTTCAATAATTTCTCTTCAGGTTCTTACAATTATAAAATATAATTTTTGTTGTCGTTACAATAAAAGCCAGTTATGCGGCAGATACATTTTTAACGTAGAATAACAGATTAGTTATGAGGTGTCAAAATAAATAGTCGTATTTGTGTGACAAACGTGCTAGGCTGAATTCGATTACAAAATATTGTAATACGGGAGACAATGGTGATTAATCATAATAGATTTGTAGAGTGTGGGATAGGAAAATTGACAAGTCAGTTCAAGGTTATAAAAGGTGTCAGGTGAGTGGCTGGTACAAAGTGGTCTGTGTTAAACTGGAGATAGTAGACTGCAATGGGAGGTTCATTGTTAATCGGGATAGATAGATAGACAATATGATAGACAGCTAATCAATATGATGTGACCTTCTTGTCGCGATGATTGGTTAATTTAATGTAACTCACACCACGTGATGTGACCTTGAGCGTTGTTTATTGTCTGTCACTTGGTTTGTGTGTACATGTAATAATTAATTAACTGTTCATCATTTTGTCCGTTCCCTCAATACTGTTCGGTACGTTTTTGTCCTTTTTTGTAATGACAGTGGATTTGTATATTTTTCTTGGTGTAATTGTATGATTTATTATTTTATGTTTTAGAAACAGATAAAGTTTGATTAAGTCAAGTCATTCTGTTTTTAAGTATAGTTAAGCCAAGACTCTATGTCGTCAGTATTGAGGAAGGACTAAATCTGTAGGCAAAAATAATCCTACACTCTTACTGGAATTACTAAGAAACGACAGTGTGTTTAAAAATAATTTTCTACCTTATCTAAATTTATTTATTTATTTTATTTATAGTTGTGCATTTCCAAACACACCGAAATTTAATACAGTTAAAGGAAAAGGTATAATTGTTTCTGATAAGTGGATTACACAATGTTATGAAACAAAAAGTTGTGCACCATGGCGTAGTTATCGTGTTGGTCGAGCTCCTAGTCCACCAAATGCTATTTCTGTACACCCTCCTGCTTCTAATAATTCTGATGACAGTGATGACAGTCAATCACCTCCATCAAGGTGAGTCTGTGTATCCCCTATTTAAATTTTGTTTTATCTAGAATAAAGAATATTTGTGATATTTGCTGCTGATAGTTGTTACTTGGACGTCGAGTAGTTAGGCGTCGAGTGTAAATACGAATGCTAATTTACGATAATGAAGGCTGGATGATTTCCCGGTCAATTATCCCCTGTTCTGAACTAAGAGAAAATCCAGAAGATCCACCCACACGGTAGGGTAGGAAACGTATATTTCCAAAGAAAGGAAAGAGAGGAAACAGTGACTTTGTTCTATTTTCTGCCGTCCTCTTCTTCTGGGTCCACGATTGCCCGTAATCTCCCTCATCGCCAAACGATCTCCCCCATTTCACCCTTGCATCGACTATCCACTCAAGCAAGCGATGGCCTGCATTGCGTGTGGTGTCATCTGACGAACTCTTCAGTGGCGTGTACCCAGTCCATCTTCATTTTCTCCTACATATATTTGTTGACCAATAGTTTCTCGGCTAGTTTACTCCCATAGTTTCTTGTTGCTAATTCTTTTTCTGGCCAGCCGGTCATCTGATCTTCAGTTTGGAGTCATTGAAGGCAGCTGTCGTTGGTAAAAGTCCGCATTAGTCTGTTAGAAATGGTTTCGACAAGGTGTTACGCCAAGTTTCTGACCCGCATAGAAGAACTGACTTACTTGGCATTAGTACTGAAAATCCACATCTTTTGCTCTGTGCTGAGTGCAGAAGACTTGCAAACTGACTTCAGATTGACGAAGGTGTATCTTGCCTTTCCGATTTTGGCTGGCTGGCTTTGACACTTTCATCTGTGCATGTGGTTGAAACAATGCTTCCTAGATAAGTGAAGGAAGTAACCTCTTTCAAATTTCCCCTGTTGATGGTGATTGGTGCTGGTTGTTGTTGTTGTGTTGGTTGGTTGGTTGGTTATCTTCATCACCTCTGTGTTCACCTGGAGTCCTGTCTTCTCTGGCTGTTTCTTCAGTCAGTTTGTTGGTTTTCACCTGCAAGTCTTCAAGTTTGTGTGTACATTAAACATAAATCATCCACACGCGAAATCCAGATCTTCTAGAGCTTTCTTATCGGTGGTCTAGCGGGTTTCCATCTTCTCATTCCCCATGCACTGTCTGATGCATAACCCAGTCCACCACAATTAGGAGGAGTATCATTGGTGATATTAGGCAGCTTTGTCTCTTCATTCTTATTCTCGCTTTCATCAGAGGAAGACACATTGGTTAACTGGTTTCCCGAAGGTTTTAATCAGCCCGCCTAATTTCACTTCTCCGATTCCAGCGAAGAATTTTTTTTCAAATTCTAGTATTTTTCTTGTACGTTGAAGTGGCTGTAGGAGTTCGATTGATTTTCTAGGGTAGAGTCACTAGCCCCGTGTCCAACTCTTCCTATTTTCCCGATCTCGGGACCGGCTAGGAAACTAGCGAGGTGACTTATAATACAAAAACACATGGTATACATTGATCCAGTCACAAGGTTGAATAGTAGGCCTTGACTGCATTGCTGGATTGTGATTGGTTGGCGCCCATCATGTGACAAATGACTTGTTTTGTCTGACTGCAGACTAATGAGACGAAATGTGAGTACATATTAATATCGCACTGGCTGGAAATGAGGTTCTTGCAAATCCTAAATGCTATAAAGATGGTTAGGCTAAAAGTTAGACAAAAAGCAGTTACCGTTAAAGTGTTAGGTGCTTACACAATGATACGTGCCTGGAAATGAAGTCGTTCTTCTGGGAAATAGGGATGTAACAGCAGTAAGGTGTTTACCTATGGTGACTAGCATGCCAGTTATGCTGTCTGTTCTCTCTGGGTGAAGTGACCAGACAAAGTCAACTTTAAAAGTTGTACATCCACACTTACCTTGTGGGGGTCCGTAGCCGGTGGTAAGATCTTTATACGGATGCAAATCTACCAATCACTTCTAACTGGCCTTATACGAGAGGCTTCAGGCAGTTGTTTATTGATCTCTGCGGTCACGCAGTACTAATGTACTCCTTTTATTTCACGTAATCAACTTTGATTGGACACCAGTCAGTAACAAGTGTAATGTGTGTCTAGTCCTTTGTTTGGTGCAGACTGAATTCTATCAGTCAAGTTTGCAATGTGGTCAGCATTCTAGGTAGCTCACCATCACAGTACACTTTGAATTGTTGTTGGAGGCAATCGGCAGGAAGCCCTGCTTTGACCTAGGTTTCGTGCTAGTTGGAACTCGTCAGCAAGGCGTATTGCAACCTTGGAAGTACTCACGTCTACAGGAGGTCAATCGCGAGCTCGAATAGCTGCTCACTGGTAATGTCTCCATCTGACTTCAGCACTGAGTAACGCTGGTTCGTATCTCAGGAGAGACATGATTACCTTCATGGAACATGAGTGCCAAAGCAGGCACGAAACTTAGGTCCAAGCAGGACATCCTGCTGATCGCCTCCAACCATCTAATATTAACAATTCAAAGGAATCAACTTCGATGGTGTGGATAGCCCATACACTTCAATAAGCACACTAAGCTTTCTTGGTCATCCATCACCTTTTACTGTTTTGAATCTTGTATAATTAAATTACAGATTGACCAGAAACGAAGAGGTTCATTACTTTTGACCTTATAGAACCCCGTCAGCAACTGTGTGACTGTGTTTCATTCTCCTTTCTATTAGTAAAGGTGAATGAAATTTACCTTTATTTTTAAAGCGGTGTCTAAATCCTCGTGTCCTATTCTAGGCCAATAGATTCTTTGTTGATTAGCTACCAGTGTTCATACCTTATTTGGCTACCCTTTAGCACTTAGTTGTCCTACTACATTCAAAGTAAACAAACTAGGTAGTCAATAAATTATTGAACAGAAAGTAAATACTGAGGTTAAAAGGTAGGTGAAAACACCAGTTTAGAGAGAACATTCACAGCCAGGGAGTACTGGATAACTGTTTTATCTCTACAGAATCCCCAAGTCATTGATAGATGTCATGAAGCTGTACTAAAAAGCTTTATCGATGCTTGGAGATTAACCTAATACTGCTTGGTAGCTGGTGATTAGCTACTAGTGGAATACCTAAATGTCGCGTGTTTCATCCTGTTCGAGAGTCGTTAACCGCCACCCACCCCAACCCAATGAGTGGTCTGTTCCCACAGGGATTCGAACCCATCACTCCTCGTTTCAAACGACTAAATCTGTTATCTACTATAGCTATTGAATCACAAGAAATATCTCTTGCCCAACGGGTATCAATTGTTATTTTGTTATCTTAGATTTCATATGGGTGAATTTTATTTTGATAGAGTCTCACAGTGTTATACAGTAATATTTACTGATGACGTTTCGAGCACAATTTATTGCTCATAATCATATCAAGTTAATCACACGACTTCCTAAATTCATTCATATAGTTCCATTGTTTTTCACTTGATTTGATTGGTAGTATTATTTTCCATATTTCGGGTATGAGTGATCACTCATTCCTATTGCATGTGTTGGGTGTAGATTCGATGAACAGGGATTCAGTAATCAACCTCTCTCTCCATCTACCTAGATTACTTTTTAGAATTTTAACCCTATCCCACCCTATTGTGTGGTTGTGTGTTAATGCATGCATTGCAATTGCTGAGCTTTTTTCTAAATTACTTATCTTCGCGGGGTCAACCATCCTTACCTTAGCTAAATTCTTATGTTCTGACAATCTGACTACTCCTGACCTACTAGTTTGACCTATGTAGTTGACCTCACAGTCATTGCAGGGTATTTTGTAAATTATATTATTTTGTCTAATTGGGTCAACTGGGTCCTTTAACCTACAGAGCTTGTCCCTGAGTGAGTTTGTAGGTTTAAATGCCAGCACCCTAATTCCTGCTTTATTTGGAATCCTACGTAGGGTCTCAGATGTCCCCTCTTTATATGGTATAATTGTAGATGACTTATATTCTCTCTTATTTATGTTATTATTACCAGTTTCACAATTCCTTTTATTTTTCTTTTGGCGTTTTTCAATCTTCCTAATTAATTTTAGAGGATAGTTATTTAGAACCAACGCCTCTTCTATCTGTTTTATTTCATCATTTAGGTCTTTCTTTGTGCTACTTAGTGCCATTGCTCGGTTTGTTAAACACTTAACTAAGCCTGCCTTAACAGTTAAAGGATGAGACGAATTGAAATCTAAATATCTATTAGAATGCATTGGTTTTCTATAAACACTAGTGTGTAGTTTACCTTCTTCTATTCGTTTTATTTTACAATCTAACATAGCTAATTCTCCTTGCTCATTTTCGGTTTCAAATGTGAATTTTATTCCCTCCACTAGTGAGTTTATGTGTGTCAAGAAGCTAGAGATATGTTCTGTTTTTAACACTGTGAAAGTGTCATCCATATATCTCAACCATATTTTTTGAGTAGGATTAAATGTATTAAGTGCCATATTTTCCCAGCTGTCCATAAATATATCTGCTACGATAGGGGATATTGGTGATCCCATTGCTACACCTTCAGTTTGTCTATATATTTTGCCTTGGAATCTAAAGAGTAGATGTGAGGCATAGCTGAACCCCTAAAATAATTTCTTCAATGGACAGCTTTGTCCTATGATTGAGTTCAGTATCCGCAGTTAGTTCTTTTTTAACTGCTTCTAAGGCCATATTGACTGGTATATTAGTATAAAGACTGGTTATATCAAAACTAACCATTGTTTCATCATTATCTAGTTGTATGTCATTTAGTTTATTTTTCATTTCATATGAATTAGTTAGTCTAGAATTTGAACGATTTCTAATGGGGCATAATATTAGAGCTAAATGTTTTGATAATTCATATGTAGGGTTATTTCTAAAATCTACTATTGGTCTTATGGGATAACCTGGCTTATGTATTTTAATAGTACCATACATCCTACTAGCATTATTAGTTTTAGGCATTAAATTAAACCATTTTGACTCACCCAGTGACGGCTTCATTCTGCGTACTAATTCCGCTGTGGATTTTTTAACCTTATTCATTATTGTGTCTACGGGCTTCTTAATTTCCTCATATGGACCCATTTCAATATGTTCATTGACTTTCTTGATGTAGTCAGATTTATCCAAAACTACGGTGGCGTTTCCTTTGTCAGCTTTTGCGATGACAATATTTTTATCCTGTTTTATATTAATTAAGGCTTCTCTTTCCGACTTTGTCAAGTTTGATTTTGCCTTCTTTTGATTTTTTAGGGTTAATGCACATTGTGCTCGAACCTCTTCTGCTGTTGTTTTATCTATTGAACCTAGTGCTACTTCTATGTTAGGAATGACATCCTCTGGTTTCAATTTATTAACTGTTACGTTGAAATTTAGTCCTTTCTCCAGTACTTTTATCTCACTGGAGCTTAGTTCCCTTGATGAGAGGTAGCACTAGGATGAAATGAAACAGATAGAAGAGGCGTTGGTTCTAAATAACTATCCTCTAAAATTAATTAGGAAGATTGAAAAACGCCAAAAGAAAAATAAAAGGAATTGTGAAACTGGTAATAATAACATACATAAGAGAGAATATAAGTCATCTACAATTATACCATATAAAGAGGGGACATCTGAGACCCTACGTAGGATTCCAAATAAAGCAGGAATTAGGGTGCTGGCATTTAAACCTACAAACTCACTCAGGGACAAGCTCTGTAGGTTAAAGGACCCAGTTGACCCAATTAGACAAAATAATATAATTTACAAAATACCCTGCAATGACTGTGAGGTCAACTACATAGGTCAAACTAGTAGGTCAGGAGTAGTCAGATTGTCAGAACATAAGAATTTAGCTAAGGTAAGGATGGTTGACCCCGCGAAGATAAGTAATTTAGAAAAAAGCTCAGCAATTGCAATGCATGCATTGGCACACAACCACACAATAGGGTGGGAGAGGGTTAAAATTCTAAAAAGTAATCTAGGCAGGTGGAGAGAGACATAGGTTGATTACTGAATCCCTGTTCATCGAATCTACACCCAACACATGCAATAGGAATGAGTGATCACTCATACCCGAAATATGGAAAATAATACTACCAATCAAATCAAGTGAAAAACAATGGAACTATATGAATGAATTTAGGAAGTCGTGTGATTAACTTGATATGATTATGAGCAATAAATTGTGCTCGAAACGTCATCAGTAAATATTACTGTATAACACTGTGAGACTCTATCAAAATAAAATTTACCCATAATGGAATTACACTCTACCACAGTGCCCAAGTTTTATTGTTATATCAATGTTATCTTAAATTTCCTTTTCATTGATTTTTATGGATGGGAATGCTCTCTTTTTAATACTCTGAGACATTTATCCATAGGTATTTGAAGATAAACTCCAGTTGTGTTGGAGTGATATTAAGTTGTAGGTTTGTCTGACAATTTGGCTAGAATACACCTTCAGAACACAACATTATAAGCAACCCGATCACTTGAAAATATTTCCCATACTGAGATGGACGCAAAAGTCAAACAGCAAACAACGACGATCGGAACGATGGCGACAATGTTATTTATTAGGAAAAAAACACACGGTCAATTATATTTACAAAACCTCAGAAATTTAAGCCGCAAATAGAACAAGTCTGACCTCAGAAAATTAAGCTATAAATGAAAGCATGAAAACTGCCGAATAGGGTTATGATGTCAGTACATGCATAAATCACGACTTCGTGTGGTTAACAAAGCGACTTGTCCGTCCTAACAAATTCTAGTTTAAGAAGTTGAATTCTCATCTTTCATATAGACTCTTGGGCTGAATGCAACCTAACTAATGATATCTAATAGTAAGAGGCCGTAACTAGCAGGGTTCACCAAGTCAAGCAGGAGGACAGTTACTCGCGCGTGACACTGGCTAAAGGTTGCGAATATATATATATATATATCATTGTTTCCTTTAATTCCTAGAGAAATATAGGGCTTCAGCCGTGCGTCTCCATCGCCTTCGGTTCTCTGCTAGAGTCTTCACCTGGCTCCAAGTCTGCCCACACGTTTTCATCTCCTCTTCACATGACCTCCTCCAAGTCACCCTTGCACTGACGACCAACTCACCGCTTCCCTTTCCGGTTCCACTCGAGCCATGGCTTGTCTAGTGATGTCACTTGATGGTTTCCTCAGAGTATGACTAATCCATCTCCATTTCTTCCTGCCTATTTGTTTCACAATCGGTTCCTGGTTGGTTCGCTCCCAGAGATCCCTGTTGCTGATCTTTTCTGGCCGGCCATCTGATCTTGAGTATTGAGCGAAGACAGCTGTTGATGAAGGTCTGTAGTTTGTTTGAGATGCTCTTTATGACGCGCAGTGCAAGTCTCTGATCCGTATAGTAAGTAGCACTGACTTCACATTGGAGTTGAAAATCCGGATCTTATTTTTGATGCTGAGTGCTGTTGACCTCCACACAGACTTGAGAGTAGTGAAAGCTTGTCTTGCTTTCCCAATCCTTGCTTTGATATCCTCGTCAGTTCCGTTCGCCTGTAGTCGAGACGATGCTTCCCAGGTAGGTAAAGGTGGTTGTTTCTTTCAGGTTCCTTCCATTTATGCTGATTGTTGTCTGTTGTTGTTGTTCTTGTCCAGGAATCTTCATTACCTCTGTTTTTTTTTTCTCTCTCTCTATACATATATATATATATATATATATATATAAGATTTCGTCAGAGATCAACCCGTTTGCACTAGCACATGCAACTACCCGAATGGTGAAGTAGGGAACATTCTCCACTAGCCATTTCACTCCCTACCTTTAAGCTAGGAGTGAGTAGATGAAGTTCAGTCTAGGAGTACGGGACAGCTATTTTTCATCCTCCTTCTTTGGGACTCTTCAGCAGTACTCGCCCACCACCCACCGTGGTCTACACTTCAGATCAGATAGAACTGTTTCACGCAATCGACTGTCAATTAATGTTACACTTGACTATCCTGGAATGGAGAGAAAGTATGATGCAATCAAGTCCGGTGAAAATTCTGTGCATTATAATGAACATTGTTCAGAATAAGACTATTATTATTATTATTATTTGATTATAGCTTGGTTCCACACCGTAGTTTTGATATAAGTAGCCCAAATTTAACAGGCCAACCATTGATATCGGGTGTGCGTCGGCAGGGGATCGAACCCCGGACCATGTGCATGGTCGGCGAGAGTCCTAACCGCTGTGCCACCGACGCACATTATATGATTATTATTATCTCCAATGGATTAAAGGGCTCTGTTAAAAGTGTAATAGAACTATTGAATTCCATTATCTAGGCTGTATTCAGCTGAAAGGATAACGACTGACGGGCAATTAATAGACAATTAATCCGTTCTATCTTACAACATGTTTCGCTATTGCTTCGTCCAAATTCATTAAGGGACACTGTTCACCACTTGTCAGAACACTATGTATATATATTATAATATGACCTTTGTTTTTGTATTTTCTTTTGTTTCTGCACACATATCAGGTCAACCCAACGTGTACCAAGCTTAAGAATGAGTAAGTGATTTGTCCATTCTTTGTTGTGGTTAAAACTAGAAAATAATTTTATTCCTATATTATTATTATTATTATTCCTTATTATGATTCCCTTGGCTTCCGCAGAGTACATAGGGCTTCAACAACCCATCTCCACTTTGCCCTATTCTCTGCGGTCCAGTTAAGCTGAGTCCAATAGGCTGTCATCTCTTCTACCCGAGGTTATGCCTGCGCCTGCCTGACTCATGATATCATTCGATGGTCTCCTCATTGACGTGTTTTGTCTAATTCATTTCTTTTTTCTCCTACATATTTGTTGGGCAATAGGTTCTAGGTTAGTCTTTTTCCATGGTTTCCTGTTGATAATGCTTTCTGCCTGGCCATTTGTTCTTCAATATGTCATTAGACACAGTCTCCTCATTTCTATTCTTAAAGAACTGTTATTATCGATAAGAATTAGAATGCTAATCTAACAGCTGAATAGTCATGGGGCTAACCTCATGACCTCAAAGTCTTGCGTTGGGATCCGGGCGGAGTTATTGGTACACACTGCAGCTGAAAAGTCCCCTATTAGGACGAAACAGTTGTCTAGCTATTCCTTGTTTTCCAGGTGTTCAGCCATTCTCATTAATGTGGTCTCGTCATGAAATCGTTGCATTTTAGCGTGTGTGCATGTGCTGAAATATCTTTTACATTTAACTAACTAAGCTGCGAAGAAAATTCGCTCACTATATTAATCAAAAATATATATCACAGACTAATGTCTTCTTGAGCAAGCCTTGCTGTTTCCATAAGTGAAATGATTTGAATATATATATATATATATATATGAATGAATAACAGAGTGACTGTGAATTGTGTGCCTAGAGAAGTAAGCTATAAATCTGTGTTTCCAACTCTAGTTATTAATGTAAGCTTAATCACAACAATTTTGACGACGTAATTTTACCAACCATTTATGATTTAAATTTTTCAAAATGGTCTAAGCTACTTAAATATTTGTAAGTAGGCACCGTCATTTTCATGAAAATATTCACCTATCAACTATTTCAATGGTGATACTATTCATCTTTGTTGGGTTTACATGAGAAAATGTTTACAAGAGCACCATCTAAGTAATAAATATGAGTTATTGTTAGCATAGGAGTGTGCCAAATATTTATAAATCTTATCTAGCAGCTATATCATGATACCATATGCAAAGTGATTCAAAACGGAAAGCACATTGAACTTGTTGAAGTGAAGATGAGAGTGAGGATAAGACTACCCTACTGTCACCGATGATATTCCTGATTGTTGTGAACTGGATCATGTAATGGACTATGGGTAGCGGGAAGGAGACACTGGGAGATTTGAACTTCCCGGATGATGCATGTTTTAATACAGCACAAACTTGGAGATTTCCAGGCGAAAACCAATAAGTTGGTAGAAGAAGAAGTAGCGAAGTCAGAGGTGATCAAGATAACCAACTAATCAATAAAAGCGAGTGTCAATCACCATGAAAGGGAGAAATCGAAATGAAGTCAACCCTTTCAGTTGTCTAGGCCCGATATCGTTTCAGCTACAGGCCGTGTCAAATATCCAGATCGCTGAGATCCTGAACCTATCGCTGGTTCCAGACGATTAAGCCAAATACGTAGGACACTATGAAATGTAAGCGACGCGGAACAACAGAAAACGGTTGGACAACACGATTGTTTATTCTTCAAGTGATAATGAAACAGATTTACGGTGGTTAATCAGCGCCAAAGTCTGTAAATAAACGTTAATATTATATAGAACAATAATACTGATCGTATTTCTCGTATCTTCGGCCAATTAGTATACAGTTAATCGATGACAACCTTCTTGTCTCCCGACAAATAGAAACCAGTTCGAACAAACAAACTATTCAACGTTCACCATTACTGACAGGCCGCAATGATGTAGATATCAGAGGCAGGATTGGAAAAGCAAGGAAGATATTGATTACCCTGGAACCAGTCTGGAAATTGACTGCACTGGGTATACGGATCAAGATTCGAATTTTTCAACACTATAATATCAAGATGGTGCTTCAACAATGTGATTTAGATTCAATGATTATCTGTTTCTGAACACATGAAATGAGCAATAATAAGAATATTTGCTTACTACTAGTTTTATGCCGCTACATATGAGATTTTACCGCCCCTCCCCTTTTTTTTCTTTTTGAATATTTAGTTT